TAAGTAGCATGCATTTTTATCATTGATTTTCGATGTCATTAAAAATTATACTAAATTGCATAGAAAACATGCATAAAACTATGTATTCTTCTGCTTATTCAGGTAGGGAATTGCGTCTTCTTTCAACTTTATATTCGAACGCAGGTTATTATTTGGTTTTCTAAAAGTTTTCAATTCCAGAATAATTTTGAATCCTATCTGCCGCTAAACTTGTATTTGAGATTTGAAAACTACAGGCCGCGTATTTTCTCCTTACGGAAAACCATTAATTTCTCCACGGTATTATGAGAAGATCATATGAGGTTCAAAAAATGTAGCAGTGAGAATTAGGAAGAGGAACTGACGAATACCCTCCTAAGCAGCGTTCTTCAGCTGCATTCGTATGGAAGTGAGGCGCTTTTTCTGCTCAACATATTCATCCAAAAGCACCTACAAGAAGTGAAGGGGCAAGTTTGACATTAATATTGAGCTCAACAAACAGTTTTTAGTCTGGAATTGCGGCGCATAACTGTTTTCAAAGTCCACGTGTGTGTTTTGCCTGCTTATAACGGCCTACACGTTTTACTTGTGTGGTAACTGTAGGACTTCTCCTGTCAAAATGCTTTTTATAAGAGTTTGCGTTGTTTTTCACTCGTATTTTGGAATAGTTGGCCTGGGCGCTGTTTGGGGGGTTTAGTTTGGAGCATACTGTTCTTACACATGCGCACGGTAAATTTCGTTTTTTGCTCCATTAGAAAGACAGAGAACGCAGGTGACAACTTTAACTATTTTCGGTGGACTGGAGTAGGTCAAAAACTGGTTCTCTTCACCAGCGGGATGCAGTAACCATTGTCATGTAGTTTCTCCTCACATTTGCTAGTATGATCGTTGTGTAGAAGTTACCATCAGCGCCTCTTATCCACTGAAACTTTAGATGGTATATCAGCCAGATTGATCGCTGATTATGGGGAGTAATACTCTTCGAGAATTTGAGCTACATTTTTGAACAGTGTTGCGTTTGCCTTCCATGTGGAAGCACGAAAATAACGCAACTGAAACAAAGAAAACTATTGTACACAGTATGCAGTTTGGGATTTGAAGCTCTTACGCGTTGAGGAAGAAATCTGTCCAGCGAAGTCGCTCGTTGACCGGTCTTCAAAATATTTTCACTTGAAACATCAGAAACTGAGCAAGAGAGTATATGCAGGTTTTGTGTAAGTTCATTAAATAAGCGGGAAGGTTGCAATTTTAACAAAAGTAAGTAGTCGTTCTCTAGCATTTACCGTAGATCTGCCATCTCATGTAATCTTAAAGGAAATTCTGCAATGGTTTGATGCGAAAAAATTTACTTAAGTAAGCTTACAATAGCATATGACGAGCAGTATAATTCGAAGATATTTCAGTCATACCCGGCTGCCGACTTTTGAACCACGTTTTGTCCGCCTTCAAAAACCACAGTTTTAAAAATGACTACTCATGTAGTCTGACTTTTTTCTCATTGGTTTTTGATTCTGCACAAATGCGATTTTATTATAACTAAAAGCACAAATCAAAGTATTCTTCCCTGCACGTACTTGGTAGAAAGTTACATCTTCTTCAAATTTATACTCGAAGATAAATTATTTTTCGGTTTTTAAAGTTTTTTGTATTCCCGAATATTTTTAGCTTCTTTTGCCGTTATACTTATATTAAGGTCTTCAAAACTGCATGCTGTACACACAAAGTTAAAGGAGAGCATCGCACAGGACTCGTAGCATTGTGCAATCGATGTGGGCCAAGTTGTATGCTTTATGAGAAGCATTAAGAAACGAGCTGATGCGAGGATGTACAAATGGACATTCCAAGGTTTTAAAAATTTCCTAATTATAAACTTTTAAAGCCAAACGACAGAATTTCCTTTCAAAAAATTAAGAACGATGCAAATATATACCAAATGAACACAAAAGGGAATGTTGTCGTGCCCGCTTTCTATGAAACAATTTAATTTATGACGGCGTAAAAACTGAAGTACACTCTCCCACTTAATTAGTTAATTTTTACAGTGTACTGTTTGCAGACAGCCGTAAACAAGCCCGTTCAAAACCCGGCATTCCAGCGTGATCTTGCAATTTTACGTAACTTATCTTTCTTGAATTCAAAATGCATTTCCGAATCTCAGTTCGCATTACATGTGATAGCATATGAAACGTAAGTTACTTGTTTGCGCGATTTTACTAAGTACGGGTTTGAAAGTTTCTAAAACCTGTCTCCTATTAAAAAAGAGAGGGCGGTCCTCTTACAGATCGTCAGTTTGGAAGTGCTATGACTCATTCAAATTAAACGAAGTAAGTGGCGGATAACTTTTGAGCAAGAAGGATAACTATATTGATGCAACTGTTGCGTAGGCTTACAGAAGTAAATCTTCCCGTGCGGTTGCATTCAAGCATGGATAGGTTAGAAATTAAATTATTTCAATGTTTTGTAGTAAGTGTAATTATTACGAATATGAGGAAAGTAAACATTACAATTAAACAAATAGTTCACAAGGTTTGCAGAGTAAATTAACCTTAGGTTGCGATCAGAAGAGGCCGGTCGATATCTGTAAATTGCAAAAAGTATACACTTGCTCAAGCCTCCGTTGGAAGAATAAAGATTCGATCGCCACAGAGCTCCTCATCTAAAGCGATTGGCTGCTGACCGATTAAGGTGGCTGAAAAGCAATCCTAAGAAAAGTCATTTACTCAAAATTCAAGCAATAAATACATGTGTCAAACTACTTGTGTCGCTTCAAAAAAGAAAAAATGTAACCCGGAAATCCTATTGCCTACTCGTCTCCTCTGACTACGAACTTAGCAACCTAATAACTCGCTTGGCAGGCATGTGAAAAGTTTGCTTGTATTCATAGTAAATTAGGAAATTGTCGGTGGGTTTTATCAATACAGTCATTCATTGATTTGGTTTGTAGAAATTAAACAATGCCCCAAATCTCGAAATATCCCCTGAGTGTAGAGTTTGTTTTTTCAGTTGAGAGAGGGATTTCCTTTGCAACCAAAAACAGCTACTTCAACTGGAGTCTTTTTTTGAAAATCCTATGCTCATAGAGTAGAGAATTTATTTCTAAAAATGTGCTTGTTCTGGTATCTAGAATACACACAAACTCTCGCTACTGTTTGACAAATATTACAAAGTGCAGTCAACGTGGGTGGATAAATTCTCTAACCAAGATGTTCAGAAATTTTCAGTTTTGCTTTCAGATTCAATCATCTTAAATGTCAATGAAACGGATGCAGAATGAATGGATTTTGAGCAATTTTCCTTCTGAAATACAACGAATATACGTAGACCAAGAACCGTCTGTCTCCAGAGCGTGGAATTCGTAACTTCGATTTATGCGGATAAAGGATTCATTTTATTCGTTGCCCGCTGCTCGGTGAATTACAGTAAACAAGGCAGGATTCCTATGTAACGCAACATCAACAATGATTTGCCAGGGTAAAAATTTCGAACCTCAATGTAATATCGGCTATTCTAACTTGACGACATTAAACGTACGCATCAGGACACCTAAATGGCAAAAGAACATAGCAGCGTGTTATATCGTCATAAAATGGCTAAAAAACCTCTTTTATTAGCAGTATGTTTCCACTTTTTAGTAAACTCAACATTCACTACACGATATTTGCCAAAGTGGATATGGCGAAAGTGCCAGCCATGAAACTCATCTTCTGCCTTGGTAATTAAATCCACCAGGCTATTCTACTGTTCGTCACATGATGTTTTATCATAGTTCCTATGCCATTAGCACTTCCAAAATCAACAATTGAACAGGCTTTTAACTATAAAATTCTCCAAAGAGTCACGTTTGCTAGTTTCTGCGGTCAAATTTGAAAGAAAGCTTTATTTTATGCCAAATAGCTGCGGCTACCTGCGCTAACACATTTGAAACACTCTAAACAGTCTGTGAAAGTGGCCTGTTTGAAAGGTGATATTCGCATGAGCTTAATCTTTGGCTGATTTTGAAATAGGTCATTCAAGCGACATATATGCTGCAACAAGATAAGCGTTGCAAAAAACGCGTACGAGGTGAATGTTTGATTGTCTGAGCTTCTGGTATATGCGAATTTCCGATGTATTAACTTCACACTTATAAGCAATAGCGTTCGGCCTAGATAGGATGGAGTGCGATACATTTAAGATAAGGCGCAGAAAGAGAGAACAGACCATAACGATCCGTAGAGGCAAAGTGATTTTCGGTTGGGTATTTAAGTTTTCTCGGCAATTCTGCTGAAAGCAAGTCGAAAAGTTCTTCAACTTCGTGTACTTTTATGACCCAGTAGATACTTATTTTTTATACGCTTTGGATTTTTTAGATGGCGGGGGATTGTGGTGTTATAAACCAAGGTCTTATACTACAGTACTCGTCATATTGGGTAGAAATGTGCGGATGTATCGTTGGTTACATTACGAGGGTTGTGTTGCTTTCTTTTAGTTATGATGTATCGCAACCTTTCACCAAATGGTAGTTGAGCAGACGTCGGTTTTGCGATCTAACAGCCGGTTCTGCTGAAAGATAGCCTGACATTTTACATTCGCAAAAACCGCCATTCTTTCACGTCGTCAGAACGATATCGAAGATCAGACTACCTACAACCGACTAAAAATATTGCGATCTATTGAGCGGGGCCCTGCAGTTATTCGCTTTAGCCAGACCCAGAAAAATATCTTCTACTTCTTTCGTGTGACCGCTGGGCAATACATCGGTGAATTTCGTGGTTACTAATAGGTAAATTGAAAAGAGTTTGATTCTTCGCATTGCCACCGGCTCTCAAGATTAATTAAGCCTACCTTCTCACCGCTTCATCTTTCATTCAATTGACTGAGTCATTCAGCAGGGGTAAACTCTATGCCAGTCAGCTCGCCAATCAAAACGTGCCTCCGACTGGGTTTATTGAAACCGACAACATGCAACTGAATCACACACTCGCAACCCTGCACACTCAACAAAGAAGGGTTACAGTGGTACCAGCGGCGGCAGGATCAAAATGCCTAAAGCATCCGGTGAGTCCTGGGTCTCTAGCAAGGGTTGCTACGTTTATCGCAAAGTCATTTTTAAATTTTCTGAGGAAGACTAAAAGCGTGATCACTTGGCTGTTCGGACACGACAGAGAACTATTATTATAACCCGGATTAGAGGCTGTGAGAGTTTTCCTTGAAACTGCTATATTCATTTTAGCCGTGGTGCGGTCGGTTACTTATAGACGTATCTTGAACCCTTATAAGAACGTTAAAATAGTCCGTATGACGCTGAAATATTGAGTGCAGCAGGATTTTCTAAGCGAAGCGTAGGTCTTGGTCCATTTTAAACCCTTGAGCAGGTTTTGCGATCGGTATTTACTCCTAAAATTACGCGAAACCACCAAGTGGTATTTGGGTACCTTCTGCCACTTTCTCTATTTCAGACTATAAGAATGACCATAAAGACATTGAATGCGGTCTTAACAAAACAAACGGCATTTTACGTCTCTTATTTTAAGCTTCACAAACTGTTGAGCCACTTATTTACCAGAGAATTATCTGTGTACTTGCGCTCTTTGAAATTTATCCGTTTTCTCGAATTTCGCTCTGGCCTACGCCATACTGGGTTTTCACTAAATTCAAGTTTCTGGTTTTTCAAAAAGTACATGTTTTGCATAAATGCTTTGAAAATAACTTTATCTAGCAGTCAACTGGTATCCGAAATAAGTACTTTCGATTTACATTCTGTCTTATTACTGAGACGCAGTAAAACAGTACGACAGTAGGACTTTTAGCACTTATTCAAAGTATCCGCTGTTTTTAATCAGATCACACAAAATGTGATACAAATCGCGGTTTCCTTTTGCCATGTCCAAATTTCGTTGAAAAAGCCGCACATTAATTCTAACGTATCGTGATAGCCTCAATCAGGTGCTGCATTATACTGTGATTTTTACCAAAAGGCATAACAATGGCGCGCGAAAGCTGGATAATTTCAATACCTCGTTTTCTCGACCCTTCTGACGTGATATTCATTACGGAGTACAGCATGTATTTTAAAAGTACGCAAGCTGTCATAATTATTGGGCTAGAGCTCTTAGTTTGAAAATTAAATTTTACGGGGCTGTAGACAAACGCATAGGTTATCAGGCAATATTCAGTGAAGCAGGTTAATAGGTCAGCATCAGGAACTTGTTATTCTAACAGGGACAGAATCCACGTTTGCGTTCTTGAAAATTATCTGAGACCCTCCGGATCTGACAGTGTCTAAAACGATGTCTTATTCGTGATGCAACAGGCAGTTAATGTCGATCATAACACAATTTCATGTCGTGCCCGATGGTACACCGCATCCGGCAACCGTCACAGGCTGGCACCACCGATCATCCAGTATTTGAGTGACAGTTTATTAGCTTCTGGAAGCACGCACAGCCCAGTCGTCGACTAACACCTTTTTTCAATTTAATTGATTCCCGAAGTTTAAAGCATGCAGAAGCATGTGTGCCGCAAAGACGAGGGGTTGACATATAGCTTTAACTGAAGGGAAGGCACTCATCCTTATGTGTCAAACGGGCGTTGGAAAAGCCTTTTCTGACACGGTAAACGCATCGGAGCGCTTTGGTTTTTTTTGGATAGAGACAGTTTTTGAAATTATTTCCAGCCTTATAGGCAAACGCACAGTTTTAGAAAAGGAACTAAGAGAAGGTGACTGAAAAGACTTTTTCGCACTATCGCAGAAGGGGGACACTTTTTCGTGCATTAGATTATGTCAAATAACAGGCCTTACCACGACAGACAGTGACTCCTTTTAATCGGCAAACTGCTCTAGGCATTTAAGAGGGGCGGTGTTATAAGGATCTTCCTCACTATATGCGGCCTTGCGCTACATTCCCTGGGAATCAGGGTTAAGATAATCGCTGGGGTTTAGAGTCAGGACTAGGGTTAGAATTAGACGTGGGATTAGAAGAGCAAAACGGTTCTACGCGTGTCCATCCATTAAATAGTCTTCTAGAGAGAACCTGCCAAGAACGTTTTTCAATTAAAAACTAGGCAGGGTAACTCTTGTCAGACCAAAATGGAATAACCACTTCCTCACGAGAACACGTTGAGGTTTCCCTAAAAATCTAAGGAATGTCAGCGGGCTCAGGTTTGAGAGTACGTTGAAAGCAAACGGACCCTCGTAAATGAGGTCTTCTCTAAAGCAAAATTTATTTCCCCCCATGCTTGCGGCAAATTCTTGGTATTTAGCCGGCCGCCGTTGTCGGCATTTAGTTTGCACGCTTCCAGCAGAAGATGTATATGCTGTGATGGATTTCTAGAGTTATCGCTAATGCTTATAACGTCGTTTCAACTTTTACAAATAGTTTTCCATTATTTAAGTCTTCACAATAATAGTCGAGAGTGTCTAATTCGATTTTCGTCCAATTGACACTATATTGCCGAACAACAGCATAATTTAAAAAGAACCAGTGGTTAAAGGCCATTCTTCACTCTTAAACATTCTCTTTGAGAACCGCGTGTACATCAAAGATTAAAAACACCTTCTTTTTCTTAAATAAGCCATCATTAGATTTCATCGTTCGGCCAAGCTCTTTTTTATGCCAGCGCAGAACACTTAGAGAATTTGATGTTGCAAAAGACTAAATAATAACAAAGACTGTCAATATGAAATGAAGATGAAATCTGCAGTTAAACTTTGACGCCTAAGCAGTGTTTCAATCGTAACATTTGACATGGAAATAAGTAATGGTGCAACAATCAGGACGTAAAAGTGCGCTACTAAATTACTTGATACTGAGAATTTGAGTTATCGGAAGAATGGAATTTAGTAATTAGCACGCATGATTATCAGCGCCAATTCCGCATAGGCTTATTGAAAAAACTTGCCTTATTTCCATATATAACCTTTGCCTATAGAGTTACAACCGTTTTACTTATAGCCCTTATTGAATCAAGATGGATTTTGTGGTCTGTGTTTACGCCAGTCGACTGATGTTTGAGGTACTCCTGACATCGCACCAATCCGCAAAAACTGTGATTCTCATGATGGATTTACCTCCATGGGACTTTAACGCCGTGTTTCTAGATTTAATGATCAACTCAGAGTCCAAAATCTACTGACCACGGGCATGACTGTGCGCATAGTTGGCGGACTTTCAGTAACTGCAGTAATTCACGCAAAATTAACTGATATTCAGAAATATTATATTAGTTGGGAAGGAATGCTTGAGTGCCGTTGCAATGTTAGTTGGTATGCAGTCCTATCTCAAAATATTTCAGTCGCTAATGCGATTTATTAGTGACGTGGTTGTTAACTTCATCAGAGTAACAACGCAGTAGGGGAAGGTCCCTCAAATCTCCCCTATAGCCTAAACGCCTGCGACGCGGTCTAAGTTTCAACAATCACATAGACGTTTTTATAAGTAACTATGTTAATTAAGGCTTTTTTGCCTTCAATGTGTCAAATTAATATGCACATTTTAGACAGACGTTGTTAGCTTCTCAGTTATAGCCAACAAGATACTTTTTTGCTGTTTCGAAGAAACCCGCTCCTTTTAGTTCTTGCGATTTGAAAGACGGGAGCGCTAACCTTGCTAGAACTCAGGTATCAACCTCCTCGTTTCAGAGAACACTTTGTGCCTCGAAAATTCTATATCGCTGTACAGTCTCATTATCTGCTGACTTCAAAGATCTTAACTCTTAACCGAATCAAAAGGTTGGTCAGCCTTAAATAATGTGAACTAAATAATAACATTCCCGGGCAACAAAGGAAAAACACAAAACTTAATAAGCAAACATAAGCTTTTGATTTAGGCAATTTTAGTCCAACCATTTCTTCCTTAACCGTTCCAGCCAATCCAGAATTTAAGCTTTCAAAAGTAATTTCGGGATCAGATTAATGCCCACTTAGCAGACGAAAAATCTTTCAAGGTTTTTCGTCAAATATATTATTGACTGTTCGACTGTCGCTAACAATAATGCCTATCGCGGGGTACCCTGAAGGCGCGTAAAGTCAACATCAACTTTAAATGACTACGTAGTGAGATACGCAGCACATACATTCGCCAGTACCTTGCCTCAATAATGCTGAACTTCTCAACGCCAGTGACTATAGCGGGCAGCACAATTACTTGGAGACTTTTAAAAGTGTTTCCAATGCAGATGAAAATCCTGGAATACGAATTTCGGTCTATTTGCTTCATCAGCCGGTCTAACTTCGGACACGGGTATAGCCGAAAATCCAAAGCAAACTGAATGCAAATACTCGCTAACGCATTTAATGGATATACACGCTGTATGCTTGATTATGGACGATTTTAAATGCTATGGACATAGCTACTAACGCATAACCTATGGCAGATTGCATTAGTATGAGAATTAAGATTATATTCAGAACTGACCTAATCAAGTGGTTTATTTAACAACTATGATGGCTTCCGCAACAGAATCAATAATTAAGAAAATTTTCAAACTTCGAGAAATTTTCTTTGTAGGACCCCTTTTTGTGATGTCCCTGACACATGTGAAAACAATTAACAGCCCGGTGTAGGGTACTAATCAAATTTCTAGGTCAGACTGTCAAATACGTCATGTCACAAAAAATTAAATTTGAGTTATCCCGGTCGCGTATTAAACCCCCGCTTTTATTATATTGTCTGCAAAGCGGCATAAGAGGGTAGCAGTGAGCACTGACATTCAAACTGCTGGCATAAATTGACATAAACTTCTTAACTGTCTGCTTGAATTATTAAAAAAATTAGGAATCCGCCTCACTAAGGCGGATTTGTTTGAGCCTAGAAATGATTACTCAGTATCTATTTCCGAAAGCAATCGAAATGCAGTTTGACAAGTTACAATTTTTGGGGGATTATTTTGATATCAGAAAAACGCCAGACCCCTGTTAATCGTGAAAGTGCTTGCTTAATGAACATCAACATGTTCTGATATGCTGGTCCGCTAATGAAAAGAACACCCGTGTCATTGAAACGGAATTGTGTTAACCCATCGATGGAAAAGTAAAGATCTGTTCGAATATTAACGTTAACAACTCCAAAACAACAGTTTTACATCGACGAGATGGCAAAGGCGGAGGGAAGTACCTTGTTGAACTGTCGGTAGACTGCGAATCGTGTCATATGAGGTTTTATCTCGGCAACCATCTGCAGATCGTTGAAGACGTTACACTGCCAATAACACTTGCCTCTCATAACCTTTAACTATTACTCGAACTCCGCTATTTTTTAAAGTTGGTTATTTTTATTAACGAGCTTATTTCCGTAACCACACGATAAGACTTGCGGCAGGAATCCAAGCAATTTGTGTGTCTAATCGCATTTTGTCAGCCTACTGTCTGGCGTGCTGCCCACCCGTAAAATCCCCATTACCACACTTTTCGTATGCCACGATCCACGGACTACCGGCAGTTAAGTGGTGTCCTTCTCTATACCGTTGCAGACGAGAGCATTTATGACAGTGTCTGATTGGCCGTCCATTGTCCCGCCAATCATGATGCATGCGCCAGCGTGCAAATGGCCACTCCAACCAAAAGTTTACAGAAGAGCCGCCAACACCAAGGAAACATTGTACCCCAACAGCAACTACCCCGGAGTTGGAAACTGCGAGCTTGTTCAAACTGCGATCTGATGTTGTAGGCCAGCTGACGTAAGACCCTGGTGTTTGCACTTTTCTAGCCTCGCCAGGATGGGCAGATATTCAGAAAAGTATGACATACAAAGTGCTAGCGATGTCTCTTAATGCAAGAAGTGTCTGACCGCAACGACCCTCTGGGTCAGGCAGACACTATCAACCAGAGACCAGAACTCCTGCCGTGTGATGGAATCGAGGGACGTTTCAGAGCTTACTGACACGTCGCCACATGTCTAGTAAGTATCCTGCAGGAATGGAACCCGCGAAAATATGTCGTGGGAAACAGGCAAAAAGTGCCCTTACGCACGCAAACTGGCGCCGAGGGGGCTAGACTCTGTCTTCAAACTCACAGCAGGCAATGGGGCAACTGAACAAACATTTGCACTTCACGGAGCAATCATCCTGGATCGAGACGTTTTGACGAAATCACAGCCCGCATTAGAGGAGCGATTCTCCAGTGTCAGTTCTATCCCGACTTCTTTCTGCTCACGGGGTCCAACCGTATTGTCCCTTTAAAATCCCGGCAGAGGCAAAATTCGCATGCTCAACTAGACACCTCCATTTAGCGAGGTTGCTCCATAGGGGCACTGGAGACATTGCGTCGAACGGATCCCGTAACGGCTCAACGATCCATCGTCGAGTTGATGACTGAAAACGCAGGCAGATAACCCAACGCCACGATTCTCGAGAGCGTTAGGCAGCCACCAAAATGGGAGGCCGCAAGTGTATAGGCAAAGTCGATTGGTTAAAGGCCTATTATCCCTGGCAATCGGATGACTTTCTGCTTAGTTTTTTTTTAAATTAAAGTCCTTCGTAATAAACGGTCAAACCAGCCCTGTCATATTGCCGAGACAATTTTTTAACCAGCGTCTTCGATGTCATGTTAGTCATCTGGAATATTCAGTCTTACTATTTTGCATTCTGATCTCTTTCGCAGCACAGATCGACTAATCCCTGATAGGTTTACACGAAATCAGCTTCAGTGATACAGGCACGACAAGACCAAATTAATGTCATTATTCACAGCGATTCAGCCCTTGTCGGCTCACAGGTAATTTTTGGGGGCTTCGAAGTCTGACTGGGTATAACAGCCAAATTTCTATTCAACTCCTGTGCCTTTAACGCATTTGCGGCGAACAACGAACACGATCCTCCAGATGCATAATAAATGCTTTCCAGCTAGCGCCAAATAATCGCCAGCTTAACACTTTGACAGTCTGCAACTTGTCAACGCACATTTGGATCTTTATCCAAACGGGCATCGACCGATAACCCCCCCCCCATCCCCACCCACCCAGACTCTCTTTTATCCACCGTATAATGAAGGACTTTCATTATTTTAACACTCAGAGCAAACTGCAAGAAGACTTATATCGTTATGCATTTCATGTCAGCACTCCGACTGCTGGTACTCATTGATATCCCTCGCGCACACTTGCAAACCATAAATTATAGGCGGTCCTAGATTTGCAGGCCGGCTTCTGCAGACTAATTCAAGTACAGTTTTACTGGTGGTTAATTTCTCTAACATTTCACTTCTTGAAAGACAGCCGAACGACACCGAGGGTGAAAAATGCATTCGTTTATTTACCTCAGTAGTTTATTCCGCCATATAATACTTCCAACTTTAAAGAATTCAATCTTTTACCAGCGATGCCATGATTGCTTATGCACCTTTATTCTTCTGTCGTCAGACTTTATTCCCGTAAAACAGAATTTGCCAAGATTTGTCCCGGCTTAAGTATACAGATTTTAGGAAAATAGCCTGTTGGCAAGTTGAGAAACGCTCGTCATCAACAGACGGGCAATTCTGTCGCCAGTGACATGTCTTTATCGAGATTATTCTGACTGGCATGCCTCCTCTTCCGAAAGTTCATCTCAGAGGCCACATATATATATTTGGAAGAGCAAGCTTTTGTTACCAGAATATGGGCCTTCCTCGTAATTCTGATCGTCTAATCTGCAAACAACTTTAAGTATAATCCGATTTTGATCTTGATCAAAGTAATGTCTTTTAAAACTGAAAAAACTACACCTGAGATCTGACGCAGAAACTAATGCTACCACAATGCATTAAGGCTGGAATCACTGTGGGTTTCATAAAAAATAAATTTTTCCTGAAGTGAATTCTGACTACAGCCGCATCTTACTAGTAAAAGAGTTCCTTCAAAAGCACATTAACACAACTGACAATTGAAGTTCACAGTTTCTTTAATAATTGCCCGGGGACTATTCCAGACCATGATTTGAAAACGTTGTCCTTTTCCTACTCACTGGATTTAGGAATTGTAACAACGATCATTCTTTCCACTTTCAAAAAGAAGACTGTTAATTTATGCTAACCGTGGTGACAAATACCGGAAGTTATTTCTAATAAACTGAAATGGGACGTCCTACGAAAATTATAGGCAAGCCTTAGCTATAGAAGTTAAATCATTTAATCCTATTTGACACCTATTTGCAAGAAATTAAGGAGCAAATTCCCTTGCTTTGCAGAAAGAAGTACTCACACCCCTGTCCTTTTTTCAGTTTTGTCCATAAGTGCGTCTTTTTACTATTTTTAGGAAGGAGAGCGGCCTCCACTGGTTAGTTTGCCATAGACTACAGCATGTGTTATACGGATCTTTCTTCATGATCTGGATCCATCTACTTTACGGTACAGATTTTAGCCTGCCGGACTTTGGTTACATTGATTTTATCTTTTAAAAATTTAGAGCAATGTCGAAAGAAGGAGGATTTCAGCAAATGTAAGTCATTTGTTGAAACAGGACAGTGTTTAATCTGAAGAATATTAGGGTAGTAACTGTACGTATTATGTGCACCTCAAATAAAGAAACACTGTCCAAATTGTATTGCTTTCAGTCCGTAAAAATTGTTAATATTTCATCTTTTCTCTCTAAATAAGAACATATAGTGGGCAGACACTGTCATTAAGCGCAAACTGACCTACTAAAGCCAAATATACTTATCTGCAGAAAGGTAGTATTAACAAGGACAAGAGAAGTTATGATAACACGTTTCTGGACTTAATAACGTCCATTGACCAAAAATGTAGGGCGAATCTCAGGGCATGCTATCCTGGATTTGGACCAGACTGGCTGACGACAAACAGTGGGCCAGAAATGATTATTCCGGTATCTCCTACCTGCATATACTACTGATCACCTAGAGTCACAACGAGATGGATATTATCTGTAAATCGATCTATGGAGGCATTTCCATCATGCATATGTATGTGTATTATATGTGGTATGTGTCCTATGGCACAGCGTTCGTTGTCGCCAGTAGCAAGCTGGCGGGCGTTCAAAATGGGATCGAGTGAGATCCTAACCACAACAGTGAGAGTCAAACGCCCACTTGACATGCTTATATTACCTCACTACGTAAGCCCTATGACTGATGATCGGTAACGACCGTAAAACAGCTGTCCACGTCTGGCCTGTTGCATTCTTGGCGAACTGCTTATGTAGTATATGAGGTTGTGTTCTATGACAAAGAGTTCCTTGTATGTGTATATATATACCGTGCTCACTGTCCCTCAAAGAATATGAAAATGAAACATCAGTTCAAATATATTTAGCTCCACAAACCCCTCTCCTTTTCGTCTTTTCGGGGATGATTAACACACCAAGATGCCTGGACCTCTAATATTCGCGTGTATATATGTCGTAAATTACATAACAATTTATCAGTAATAGCGACAGTCCAAGGCTAAGATGGCGACTGACAGTTAACACTTTAATGAGAAACATTTTAGCCAGTCTTATTCAGCTTTTTATAGTCCTTCGTTCACAACGGGTAAGTTTAAATGGCCTTCGGATGATCTTTATATATTAGAATAGTTGTTGCTTCGTCATCACGTTCGAGCTCGATGAGATCGCAGCTCCTTGTCACGACCCTCTCCCCCCCCCTCAAAAAAAATATCCCTGCGTTCTAGTAAGTAGTCACTTACATGGTTCGACCATCGCGATCGAGGACGTCCACTCTCGGCATCAAGACATGGTGGGCGAAGGGACGGTGACTTGTGCGTGAATCAGTTTATAGTGACAGTAGACTTGCGCTGCATCCACCGCCCTCTCTCCTCCACCACGCACCTCAGCCCACTGTCAAGACAGGGCCAAAAGACCGGAGGCTGGCTCGGAGGCAGTGACTACTAGAGCTCGACAGTCCGTCTCTGGTCCGTGCACCGATGGCCTGGGTTTCTGAGGAACAAAAAGGGCGCGGCTTTGACCCCAACAGAATGGGAGTGTCATTGAAGGAGGAGCCAGTGCAGTCTAGCTGGGGACAGGGCTATTACCCCAGTTTGCGGCCTTCCAAGCCACGGCTTTTGGCGTATCGTGATAGTTTAGTTGCTCGTCAGGTTATTTTATGTGACAAATACTTGCTGAGTTCCGCGAGGACGGAGTCCGTAGAGTTGACCCCATCTTCGCCTCCCTTCCCCCGGACGTTAGTCCACTGTGCGCGCCGATTAGCTATCTACTGTTGGCAGTGAGCGCACGGGGCTGGCATAGTTATACAGACCGTCTACGCGGGCCACGCACGACCCGGCCCCAGCGCGACGCACCAATAAACGAAGACACGCAATCACGAACTCAATCTTTACTTATTTTAACGTCTCATCTTGGGGGCACCAAACCGCGCACACAGGTGTAATGTTCCCGTTGTCCAGTACGAAGAATTTGGCCGAGTTTTGGTGACCGATAAAATCCTATTACCCGTTAATGGCGATTCATATTATAGGTGAATATGTATCACTTTTCCAGGTGCCTGCCAGGCCGACTAACGCAAGACTCACTGATTTGTCTAACGTTTTGGTCTAAAGTCGAGACGACTATCAGAGATCATGGAACGCACAAACACTTCCGCATCGAAGGATTCACTGGCTGCGCGATCAATGCATAATAGAGTCAGCAGGTTTAAGCATTCACAATGATGTTCGCAGTTGATTTGGTTACTGTTTCGTTGTCTGCATTCAAGTAGTATATTAACGAGTCTTTATTGTCCACGTTATCATACGCATTTTGATTATCCTGCAATTTGGCTCGTCAGTAATGTAACCAGGAACAGTAGCCACATACGCGTTCCACGTGCACCTACTTAATCTACACACAGATAAGGTCTAAGCAGTGGATATGGAGAGCTGTCATTGGGCTTGTTAACCAACCTTGGGCCGCATAACTGCTCAGGTAGATCAGTTTTCACTTCTGGCGAGAATTTCGACATTGCCGAACCTGAGTCGTGGTCTGGGCGTGGATATCATTCCTCTTGGTCGTCGATGCCCCTTCGGTCACCCGTGTTCGGAATAATCTTTCAGTATTCCGACGTAATTTCACTGTCCACAACCGTTTCATTGCAGTGCGTCCCATTGCGCCAATAGTGCCGTCTTGAATGGCCTCACAAATTGGCAAATACCACACAACTGCTGATCTTCAATAGCAATCGCCGAGCCACGCATATACTCTTGCCCCACTAATTGGATTTCCTTATACTCAACTGCCCCATGGGACAGAAGTTTCTTTCTATATTTTCCAGCTGGTAGTTTCTCGGTTGCTTATTAACTGCATCCCCAAAATATTGAACATGGCTGCGAGCATGGCTATTTCTATTTGCTACGCATGAGAGAATCAGAGCTCCGTATGAATGGGCTACTTGTCCCGACTATCAGATTTTTCCTATATGCCGTTACCGAGACCCTATCGTTTCGCATTGTCGAATCAACGGACTTCCTAAAAATAGGGATGTTTCCCACGACGCGCCAGACATCTTCTATTATATAGACTTTGGTGACTTGACATACCTAAATACGTAGATTGGTCATACGTTCAAATGACCCCTGGGTAAGCTTTGTAGGTCGTCTCTTTTTAATAACTCGACTGTAACCTTTTAATTGGTGAAGACATCCCACATAGTTTCCCGTGCAAACACAAGGTTCGCAATGTGAGATGTTTCATTGTCATCAGTAAGGGAAGTGTGAACTTAGAGTATAGTACTCCAAACACGTTATTTCCGGTCCACTGCAATGTTTTGTGAGCAGCCGAGCCGAGTTTTATCAACCTAGGCAAACTTACCACATATTATACATATATTTACGCTAACTTGCAAGTTCGCAGTTCCGTTAGGCCTCTGCCAATGCGATTGTTTATTAAAATTTCAGGTGCGATTTACCTCCCATTCGTGGTGCTATCTGACGCCACTCTGAATATATTTTTTTCCATTTTAGTTGATTTTGTATGTCCGTCAAAGAAAACCGCATCAAACTGTGAGTCAGTCTTACAAACGACTGTAATTAAGAACTGGGCAACGGTATAGAAAAGGACCACATTTAAATGTCAGTAGACTGTGGATCGTGTCTTATGGGGTTTTATCTTGGCATACCTATGCAGGCTGTTGCCGAAATTACACTGCCAACAGCGATTACTTCCCATGACCACAACCCTTAACTCAAAATACGTCAATTTTGACATTTGTTTTTTGTTTATCGTTCAATTACTGCTCTCATTTCCGTTGTTACACAATAGCGTGGGATGATACTTTCGGTAGAAATCCAGACAATTTATGTGTTTTCTTTAATTTTGTCAGCTTACTGTCTAGCGCAGTGCCCCACCCATAAAACTCCCTTTACCATAAATCTCGTATGGCACGATCCACAATTTATTGACAGTTAAGTGGGGTCCTTCTCAATACCGTTGCCAAGATCTGTTGACGAAGTATCCACCAGGCAAAGCAGCAAACTAAAAAAAGCTTATTTTAATGATGAAGGCAGAAAAATTGGATACCAATTTTCAGCGTATTTGCCGTTATCAGCCGGTGATAGCCCAATAGTGTAGTGCACATGCACGATCCGAATCTCGAGTCAGTTGACCATCGACTGGAGCGGTCACCACTGCATTAGCAGTCTCACTTAACGTCGGCTGAACTCGTGAGTATTTAGCCAGGTGAGAATGTCAGGTAACAATCTATATTTATTACAGACGCAGCACAATTGGACTGCATATTTCTTAAGCAGCAAATACTTAGAAAAGCAAGAAGTATGTTTGTATGTAAACCATGGATTCGGTTTTAACTCCAGAGAGACAAGCAGTCGACGAACAACTTGAAGTTCGCATCGCAGATGTGTTCCTTTGCATAAAATTATCATTGGCTGATAACGGTAAATAAACCAGGAAAGGCCGTTCCCTTGTCTCTGTCTTTTGAGACGAGATTTTTGACTTGTTAATCGGTAGTCGTCATTCGAGCCGCCGCGTAAGTCGCTCACGCTGCGACCCGCATAGACTGATGTATGCCATTCTCCCTTAACAAGGAAAACAGTTTAATGGACACCAGATTGTTTCTCTATCAAAACCTGAGGAAAGGTAAGCATGTCTCGTATAAAAGTCTTCTGGATATTTTAGATGACATCATCAAAAGTAAACCGCACAAGACGCGACGTAAGTCTTGTCCTTATATGCTTAATCAAGTGATTTTTTAAAAAAGACAGTACTCAACAGTATTTAATGTGTCATACTTTCCAGAGTCACAAGCGATCACTGCACAGGCTGATTGAAAACTGTCTTAAAAACCAACGAAATGTTAGCCTGCAATTTTAGCAAACTATTCTGACGTGATTCGCCTATTAAAGCCAGCACGGATATATTACAACAGCGAACTGTAGCCCACTTCTAAAATGTCGTGAGATGAACTTACCTTCCGCTATTTGCGACCATCTAGAGTTAATTAATTGATTTTGTTGCCGGTCACGCGTAACGCTAGACAAATAAGACGGACACGTCTCCTATTTATACTTCGAAGCCGTTTTTAAGGATGTTAATTTCATTTGAATAGAACATTTTGGGCCAAAACATCTATAACCGGCTCGGAGACTGTTATTATTTATTATTTACTGGGGGCTTTATCCTGATTTGTGCTGATTTTTTTCGCGCGGTTTGTTTTGCTGCTGTAGCACGCGCGCACTCCGAAGACTTGACATGCCTGCCTACCTTGCCTTCTGGCGTTGACCGTTTTATTCATTTCGTCTTACCGTACAATTTTTCCAGCTGCTCCTGACTGTTTTCTTAACCCCTTGATTGTGGTCGTACAAATGACCTGAGTACGCGAGCAGACAAACTGACTTCAATTTGGGCCAATCAGAGAGCGGCAGTTCGTCCATGCCTGCCTCTGCCGTCCCCTTACTTGAGTGTTCACCGTTGTTCGATCTTTCCCCCTCCCCCTCCCCACCTGAGCTGCTAATTTGTGCAACCGGACGATGGGCCATTAGAGTCGTCACCTTCCACCCCCTGCCCCCCATCCCAGGGAGAGTGGCTTGAGCTTTTGCAAAGCCATGCCAGTTACGTACCTGTCCCGACTGACCTGAGTTCCGACCTGCAAACGATCTTGTCCGCTTTGAAGGCAAATGCTGCGCTCCCTGAATTCGAACTAGGAAAAGCATAGGTCAAATTTGGCCGGGTGGTAGTCTTGATGAGGGGATTAACATCCCACTAGCACAAACGACCTGCCTTTGTGCTTCCTCGTCTTACTCGAATGGCCGCTTGTCGTGAAAAACTGACTTCTTGCGGATATGAGGATACATTTGGAAGTACGATAGTCTAGTCTTACATCTGGTATATTTCAATGTATTCCGAAACCGTATGCTTAGGCGTGCCTAAAACATTCCGTAATTGCATGTTTTAGAATATCGAGGGGAAGTAAAAATATCAGAAGGTCAGTTAGCTTTTGAGAAAACATAGAAAAAATATATCTTGGCACGCATATAAACACTAACATCTATTTATATTTTCAGCAAATATCAATAACAATGTGTCGCAAGCCCATCGTAAGTCTGAAATTCAAGAAATTGCATGCTGAATGATTTAATGTATAAACTTCGCCATTGTTTCGTGTCTCGTTTTGTCAGTGAGACAAAGACGGCTTCTCCTCAGGTTTACTGCTTCTATAAATCATTTACATATCAAATTGAAGATTCGAGTCTGATAGGGCCTGCTTATTCCCTTATTCCCGCGTTAATCCATTGCTAAGGTCGTCTGCGCTGACAATGAAACATGTAGTGACATAACATCACAGATTAAAAAGATACTCACCACGAAGGTCACTTTTCCTAACAATGCATTTTTGACTGCAGATGAACTGATGGAAGTCAAGGTGAACAAAAAACCCGTGCGCAGTAAGTTTTTGTGGGATAAGTGTTCAATAATTCCTGCATATAATGTCTCCGGTAGCTTGTGGGACGAGACTAACTGAACAAAAACTGCTCAGTTGAAAAGACATCCCGTTTAGGCCAATCATACGTTTGTTTGGGAATGCAGGTCTTACCGCCAGACCCCCCCCCCCCGGCGAGGCGTCTCTTTGTCCGTTCGGTTACTCTAAACGTAGCTGCTTATTCTAAAATTCGATCCGGTGCCGTAAAACATCGAAAAAAAACGGGGCTTTGAACCATACTCCCTAGCCGGTGTTGGGACGACCGCAGTTAGCCAGGGACTGCAGTTCTTAATCTGCGCCTAGTGGAAGGCCAAGTAACATTTGCAGTTTACGGCAAACAAGCCACACAAGCTCAAGGTCCCTCTTTGCGATCAGTTGTGATCCTGAATTGTGGTTCTGAGAGCTGAGATCCGCAGAATTGCTCTAAGATACCCCGGTTTGTCGGACTACATTGTTAAGCTCTAAGTTTCCGGCGAAATGAATACTAGGAGACTTAACGAGTAGCGTGCATGTCATACGGCAGCAAGTATACTAAAGAGCGGGGCCTTTTAAAATGCTGACTTAGCCAGTTAGTACCGGTTGAGGGATGTTTCGAACTGACCGAAAAAGGGCAGCTTACGGGGATGTGTCTAACTTACGATTTGCCATGAATTAAAATTCTGTTAATTAGTAAGCCCTTTGTCGTGTGATACAGTGATGGACTTTATATAGAACACTAGCGGTCGTCAGAGATCATAGTGGGAGAGGGTAGATTCGGCTGCTGTAGTTGATTGTCAGAAGATTGTTTGCAAATTCGTTCTGAACTGTCTGAAAGTATTTTCCTAACATTTTCAGTACTTTTCAGTAGAATTTACGGAAAGCATAATTATCTCTAGTACAAGTTTTTTTAGGTTCACATAGATTGTAAACACGAATTCTCTAGAACGAACAACCAGAAAAATATCCTAAACTTGACAAGAGAGAGTATCATGAGTAAGACTGCCAAGGCCCTATCTTGCCGCTAGCCTAATTAACCTACTAAGGAAGTGAGCTAGTTCCAAATGGTTAATTCGAACGCTGTCCCCCCCCCACACAGTACCTGTATGAAGATTAGCATTCAGTGTTTGGAACTTGAAACACAACATCAATCACACCATCACTCCCCCAAACTCGGTTTACCCATGTACAGTGAGTGACCGATCTCATGAAATGTTGGCTGAAATTCTGAAACGCGTTTTCGATTAGGAAGGATTACTTGGTCGCGGTTGTAATAATGATTTTCTTAAGGCATACTCTTATAACATTTCGGACTCGGCAGGTTGTCGGCTTTTAAATGCACTTCTTTTTAATCTCCTATAGAAGGCGTGCTCGGTAAAAAATGACTACTTAACTAACATGCCTTTTTTCCATTGATTTTTGATGGTCTTGAACATTCAAATATATTTTATAGAAACTATAAACAAAACTATGCTTTCCATTACTCAGTCAATAGAAAATTACGTCTTCTTTATATTTTATATTTAAGGAAGGAGTATAATTAGGTTTTAAAAAAGTTTCTAATTAAGAGACTTTTTAAGACCGCGACATGTCCATTCACATAGCATCGTATCTGGCCGTTTACCACTGCTCCTCATGGAACGTACAACATGGTCCGCATCCATTACAAAATTTTATGGACTCTGTATGATATCTCTTTAATGGCATAGAAAAATATGTGATTTTCTTTACGCGGAACGAATGCAACTTGTAGAGTGAAACCACTAAGCGCTAGTGCAACGAATGTTCAGGCTCCAAATCATTCGGCAATTAGAAAACTTTTTAAAACCTAATTGAGGAGCAGTGGTAAATGTGAATGGACATTTCGCGGTCTTAAAAAGTCTTATAATTAGAAATTTTTTAAAACCTAATTATACTCCTTCCTTAAGTTTTAAATATAAAAACGACGTAATTGTCTATTGACTGAGTAAAAGAAAGCATATTTTTGTTATTGGTTTTTATAACATATATTTGAATTTCCAAGACCATCGAAAATCAATGGGAAAACTGCATGCTAATTAAGAAGTCATTTGTTTACCGAGCACGCTTCCTACAGGAGATTGAAAAGAAGTGCATTTAAAAGCCGACATCCTGCCGAGTCCGAAATGTGATAAAAGTGTGCCTTAAGGTAATCATTATTACAACCGCGACTAAGTAATCCTTCCTAATCGAAAACGCATTTCAGAATTTCAGCCAACATTTCATGAGATCGGTCACTCACTATATCTTTCGAAACATAGCGCGACGATGGCGGTAGCGGTCGTCGTATCGCTTGCGCTTTGACCCACTTTTATTGAATCTTCTGCGGGAAGAGAAAAACATGAATAGGTCAGCATATTTCTGTAGGCGCCAGCCTTCTAAATGAAAGCTGCGGTGTTTCCGTAAACGTCATTTCTATTTTGAATCTCTTTGCAAAACCGTTACTTTCTCGCGCGGCAGCGTCCCTACGATTAGCAGTGAGGATAGTAAAACAGACGGAGGTGTGCATTTGAACTTATGCTTGATTTTGGCCCTGAGTGTCCACTTTCGCTCAGAAAGTCTGTCCATGTAGTTTATGTTGGCCTTTAGCATCAGGACAAATCGCGCCCACCACTTGGCAGCTAATCTGTATTCAGTCATATATATATGAGGCACCTTATTTTCCAAATAATAATTTCGGGAATTACAATTTTATGTCGTCATGCATGATCACCATGCAGAACAAATATACCCTGCTGGAACTTGAAATGGCATTTTACTTTAGGCAGGCCAACCAGACGAAGCCGTTCACGTGGTAAGTGCGAGTCCGCCTATTAATTAATTCTGGAATTAATAGTGCAGTAAACGACACTTTATCAAATTTATCCCATCCATTGAAGGTACTCATATTTTTGACTTTTCATCATAGGGAAATCACATCGGAAGTCTTCAAAATCAGGTAAGCAGGCATGCTATCTTGCACATGTCTCCAGTCTTCACTGCCCCCCTTTAAACCACCTAGAACTTCGAAATTCTCCATTAACACACATTCATCCAGCTATGAAAGATTTAATTTTCAAAATTGCAACAGCCCTTAACGCTTTTTTCGAATTTTTCAGTTTGTCCCATCCATGGTACGTGGGAAACATCAGAGATTTCTTGATGCTTAACATCTTACTAAATGTGTACACATGATTGGATTCAACAGAGCAACTCAGAGCAGTTTTAAATTTCCAGAGAATGCAGATTATTTCATGATCTCCAGTCGCTGGGCTCCTCCCGAATACTCAAAGGTCCTGACAGTACGAAGCCTTCCAAAGCCGCAGTGTTTGAAATATTAACTTGTCTCAAGGTGCTTTGTACGACCCGGATACCATCCCGTAAAGCAGTTTGCAGAATTTCCCGTCGTTTGCTAGACGCCTTAAACTGCGGCTGAAGTTACAGGGTGTGAAGCTAACTGGAAGTGCTAAATTGTGTTCTTACTACTGACCCATTTTTTGTTACATGTTACGTTAAATCTGCAGCTGGTCACATATATTATTCTTCGGACTGAGTGGTAACAAGTAATGAATAGGACTCACGTTTTCGGAGGGGGGATTCGTTTCTAACTGTTTTGATTAGCAGACCTTTACACAAAGGGAGTTGACTATTAGGGTTCTGACTATACTAGTTACTCCAACCTTACCTCTGCTACTAGATGATAATCCTGAGTTGTTGAATAGACTATGGATGGATAGCAAATAACTGCACGATTCATTCTTGCAGATCACATTACCTAAGCCATCGGACTGTGTCAGATCTGTCGTGTGAAATGACTTTAGAGAGACAGTATGACTTTATGGTTCCAAATGCTTTCTAGGAGCACACAAAAGACGTTCGAGAAAACGCTCTTCTTCTTCCTCCTCCTCCTCTTCGTCGTCGTCGTCCTCCTCCTCCTCGTCGTCGTCGTCGTCGTCGTCTTCCTCCTCGTCGTCATCGTCCTCCAGAAGCTCCTCTTCCTCATCATCTTCCCCGTCACTTTCTCGTTCTCGTTCAAGTAAGTCGCAGAGCTTGCTCATTGGTTTAAATAAACAGTATTAGATTCAGCCTTCCGAAGACGAATGCCTTGGTTAAGTTGAAAGTAAAAAGCCTCGGTAGCTGGAGCAAGTTTCGAAAAAAAGAAAATGCAATCGCTCGTTAGTCCACATCCACACAATTTATTCATCCATATCGGATGTCGACATGATTATTACTCGACAGTTTGGCCCGCTGCCACCTGGTGTGTTGTTTGCCAGCGCTCTCCCCACGGGCCGATTCCCCTGCCCAAGGAATGTCTCAGCACCGAATATGGTACCGGGAGGGCATCGCGCTCGTTAACGAAAAACGAGCCTGAACAGCTTGCAGTCCAGGCAGTTATCACCTCCTACGAGGAGTTCACCCTCTTGAAACTTCAAAATATGGCCGTGATTCGTGGAATGAGTCGCCAACTGAGAGCTGGAGTATTACTACTCAGAGTCACAGTAGGTGAAATAACTTATGAAATGTTAACGTAAATTCCGAAATGAGTTTTCGTTTCGATAAGATTACTTAGGCAGGGTTGTAAAACTAATCATTGGGCAGCAAAAATTTATAAAAAATTCAGCTACCTCAGGACGCCGGCCATCGAAAGAACTTCTTTTTGAGTGCATACAAAAACCGTTCTCTGTAAGAATGGCTACTTACGTAGCAGGCATCCTTCCCGTTGATTTTCAATGCCCTTAAATATTCAGTTATATTTCATGGAATGTATGAATAAAAATATTTCTTATTTTGCCAGTTCGGTGGATAATTACGTTTTTTTCCAGTTTTATACTCCAAGGAAGGGTATAATTCGGTTTTTAGAAAGTTTCCAATTGTGAAATTTTTCAATACCGTAAAACGGCCGTTCATTAAACATCATGTCTCTGCATCTACGAATGTAACTTGGTAATTTAACAGTATGGCTCATATTAACTCCCAAATTCTATAAATCCCATATAGTCTCCTCTTAATGCTGTAGAGGAATGTGTGGTTTCCGTACGCGGAAGATGCACGGCTTGTAGCTTGGAAATCCTGAATGCAAGTGTAACAGCAGGTCAAGCTTTAAACTTATTCGGGCATTTGAAAAGGTTTTGAAAACTGAATTATACTCCTTCTTCGAGTATAATATTGGAAGAAGACGTAATGCCCTACCGGATGAGTAGAAGAACGAATACTTTTATGCAGGCTTCCACGAAACATGAGTAATTTCTAAGAGCATCGAAAAGCCAAATATAAAAATGCATGCTAGTTAAGTAGTAATTTATTTACAGATTCTTTTTCGCTTACAGTCGTAAAGAAGTTCATTCGAAAGCCGGCATCCTGAGGTAGCTGACTTATTATAAAAGTATGCTGCATGAGGATTAGTTCTACAACCCTACTTAAGTAATCTTTTTCGGAAGGAAAATGCATTTCGAAATTTCGGCTGACATCTCATGAGTTATCCCAGCTACAGTAGGCCAATATGATTATTCAACATCTGCTAAAACATTTTTAAATTGCGTGAACCTGGTAGTCATCTGTTGGATTCTAAGCGAATAGTTTAGGAAATACTGCCTAGGCAGTCATAGTACTGTATCAGATTTGATGGATTCCTGACGTTGCAGTAGGCTGGTGGGGCAACTTGAACCAAATGTGATTAAATTCGCGTCTTTCGGTGGGACCTCGTAGCTCAGGGGGCCAAAGCGTAGGCAGAACTGAAGCCTGATGTTCCAAATTTTTTTACAGCTGAGTCAATATGAAACGTGCCAAAATACAGAAAGACAGAAGCATCTAAATTCCATCGACGGCAGTGTGGCATTACCTAGGCTATGTCAATTGTTAACGTTAATTTCGACCTATTATCAGCCATTTTAGGCACATATTAACTGACGGAACATTCTCAAGGCCGGAAACCTCAGCCAATGTTCGTGATCTGTTTTCGCTGTTCGTTTTCGAGCGTGATGGCGCACTATCGCTATAGATCCAGCATTAGCGAAAATGGGCAGGAACAGGGATTATCAGGGCGCCGGTTGTAGTTGGTACTCCTTTATGGGACAACCAATTTAACGAAAAGACCGGTACGAAATCTAAGCAGCGGTGTTCAATCCAAATAGAATTCTCGCCAATTTGTTTTCGGTATAGAATTTGAAGTCCACGCAGTTATCACCGACGAACAGTCTGGAAAAGAACCAAATTAATTCGGAACATTTTATCAAGTGTCGTATTTTCACACAGGTCGTCCCCAGCCAGTCGAAATATGAGAAATCTGGTTACAAATTCAAGCTTTATGTGCACGTTCATGAGGAGCATGGCGATAAAATTTAATGCAATTTGTTGTAGCAGAAAACTTATGCTTAGGCCGTGGCAAGATAGTTTTTCGCATTAAATGGCTTGGTTTGCGTGCAAATACAGCATGAAATCGCGACTGAAGTGCATCATAGGTCCAAAAGTAAACGCTCCGTTCTTCCCTCCATTCCCAGGAATCCTTCGATTAGAGGCATAGTCAACGTTCTCTTCTCATATCTTACTGCAGGAAAATCGGTAAGATGTGGCTATGTAGCCCGACATGGTGGACACAATACTATAATGCTTGGAGCTAGAGTTATTGGTTAGGCTTAGGGTTTATGGTTGGGGTAGAGGATTATGGGTCAGAGTCAGGGATTAGGACAACCATTTCTCAACCACTCATAGTACAACCGCGAATTTCCAATGGCCTTTCATTTGCAAACAACCACTTGACTTCGTCGCCGGTGCGTTCTCCAGTCCCACCTGTAAAATCCCCTATAACCACCGGTATCGTATTATAGGTGGCTGGGGTATGTTTACTTTAGGCAGGGCTACAAAACCACATCTGACCGTTTCACGAATTCGCTCATTGTGCTTCTCTCCGTGAATATGCCGAACATGCATGTCAAGCTTGCGAGCCTGTAGTTTGTCGCCGACACCTACTACCGTTACTCTCTAGAGGAATAATATGTTCCAATTTCCAATGCCCAGGAAGTGATGCAATGCTAAGCGGACTTTCGAGAATAATTGCACGAGGCATGGAAAGATCACTGATGATTTCTCTGAGTAGCATGGCCTGAATGTCACCCGATTTTCTGATCATGTGAAATTGTTATAGGTTTGAAACCAGCTGTCAAACTTCTAAAGGGGTTTTCAGAAAGAAAGATTCTGCACAACCAATCTGTTGCAATCTCTTTAGAGCTGGATAGGAATTTCTGATGATATTCGAGCGGTCCACACCGCTTTTATTGACTTTTAGAAGGCGTTTGATACGGCTTTACACGAATGACTCCTCTACAAACGTGAGACAAGCGGGACCAGAGGAGACTTTCTCAAGTGGATAAAATGTTTCTCATGACTCGACGATACAGTCGAGATCAGCGTTCGTCGGGGTTCCGGACTAGGGTCCATTTTAATCCTATCGTACGCGCATGCTTGATTAACACGTCTGAACTGCAAAACCGTCGTGTTTGCTGAGTGTAGGCAGATCGGCAGCGCAATTCGAATCACTTCCAACAAAGACAAATAGCAGACCATCCTGAATCACCTGAAGCCTCTTTGGTTTAACGTTCATACTTGTATCATACTTATTCTAGGCAACTCAGTCAGACCCGCCGACAGAAAACGGCTATTTCCCCATTAGGAAAACTCTGAAAGACGCAATAGCTCGAAATGCTCTCCAGTCTCCCTTGTCTTTGTCGGTTATGCCATTCTGACCTCATCTTCTAGTCGGAGAAGCGAAAGTGTGGACGAGTGAGGCGAATGCGCACAAGTTACTGATGGGTCAACTTCGAGAAGCCATGACGATTCCTGGTGTACCCGACGGTCTAAATTTCAGTAGGTATATGTGATCAACGCAGGTGCCGCAAGTGGGCAGCCGGAGGTTCCCAAATCAAGATTCAGGAAGCGAGGATTGGATGGACAACCCTTACTCTGCGGCTGGGAGTGAAAAACCCTCCACAAGGCAGCGGCAGTGACTGTTTATCTAACTAAGAGGCTACCCCTTAATGTTATCTGCCGAGGTACAGTACGTGGGTTAAATCATACACGGCCAACCTAAATTCCGAAATGTATTTTCGTTTCGAAATGGGTTAACTAATCATCGTGCAGCATAATTCTAACATAATTCATCAACCTCAAGACGCCAGCTTTCAAATGAATTTTATTTTCGGCTGCGGGCAAAAACTACACTCTATAAGAATGCCTACTTACGTAGCATGCATTGTTCTCATTGATGTTCTATACCGTTAGCAATTCAATCATATTTCGTAAAAAAACATGCATACTTATATTCATTCTTCTAATCATTCGGTAGAGAATTACGTCTTCTTCCAATTTTACACTCGAAGGATGGGTATAATTCGGTTTTTAAAAAGCTTCCAATTGTGAGATTTTTCAACACCGCAAAATGGCCGTTCATAAAGCATGATGTCTCTGCATCTACCCATGTAACTTGCAAATTTAACAATATGGCTCAAATTCATTGCTAAATTCTATTAACCCCATATGGTCCCTTATTAATGCTGTGGAGAAATGTATGGCTTTACGTACATCTAAACTTACGGCTTGTGGCTTGGAAACCCTGAATGCAAGTGTACCAGCAGATCCGGGTTCAAATTTATTCCGAAATTAGAAAAGATTTTGAAAACCTAGATATACCCTTCCTTCGAGAACAAAATTGAAAGAAGACGTATTTCTCTACCAAAGGATTAGTGAAACGCATATTATTATTCATTTTTACCGTTAAATACGATTAAATTTCCAAGGGCATCGAATATCAATGCATGCGTCGTAAGTTGCCATTTTTTACAGATTCTTTTTTGCCTACAGCCGGAAAGAAGTTCATTCGAAAGCCGGCATCCTGAGGTAGCTGAATTATTATAAAATTATGCCGCATGAGGATTACTTCTACAACCCTACTTAAGTAATCTTTTTCGGAACGAAAATGCATTTCGAAATTTCGGCCGACATCTCATGAGTTAGCCCAGCTACTGTAGACCAATATGATTAATCAACATCTGCCAAAACATTTTTAAATTGCGTGAACCTGGTAGTCATCTGGTGGATTTTAAGCGGATTGTTTAGGAAATACAGCCAAGGCAGTCATAGTACTGTATCAGATTTGATGGATTCTAGACATTGCAGTAGGCTGGGCGGGTAACATGAGCCAAAGTTGATTAAAATCCCGTCTTTCGATGGGGTCTCGTTGCTAGTGTGGCCAGAGCATTGGCTGTGCTAACGCCTTCCTTTTGCTGTCGTGGGTCCGAATCCCAACTAAGCGTTGAATTCTTCACAGTTGTGTCATTATGAAGTATTCGAAATCCGCCAAAACATCTACGGATGATAAAATTGTGGACTAACGAGCCATTATCACTTCAATTACGACCCCAGCGACGATCGTGAGAGTTGTTACTTATAGTACGCATGTGGCCCCACGTGAGCTGCAGTGCGTGACCGATCTCATGAAATGTTGTAGGATTATCTATGTGAGGTTCTAATATTGATTATCCTGCAGCATAACTTTATAGTATTTCGAACTTGCCAGGATGTCGGCTCTTGAATACACTTCTTTCCCCCTCCTTCAGAAACCGCACTCGGTAAAAATGGAATTCTTAATAAGCGTGAATTTTCGCATTAAGTTTTGATGGTCTTATAAATTTAAATATATTTTATAGAAAATATGCACAAAATATGCTTACTTTTACTCGTTTGGTAGGAAATCACGGTATCTTCGCATCTTATACCTGAAGAAAGTGTATATTTAGATTTTGAAAAATTTTCCTAATTTTTGAATAATTTTGAGTCAAATCAGAAGGTTCGTTAGCATTTAGCGATTTCACTGTACAAAGTATATGCTTTCCGAGTGAGGAAAATCATATATTCCTCTATGCCTTTTAAAAAGGTACTATATAGATTTCGTAAAATGTTGCGATGGATTCGGATCATGTTGTATATTTCATAATGAGCATTGATAAACGGACATGCACGATGCTGTATGGATAGACATCGCACGGCCTCAAAGATCTCATAATTAGAAACTTTTTTTAAACCGAAAATTAACCTTTCTTAGGGTATAAAATTTAAAGAAAACTTGATTCTCTACCGAACGCTTAAAAGTAAGCATATTTCCTGCGTGTCTTCCTTAAAATATAATTTAATAAGGCCATCGAAAATCAATGCGAAAAGTGAATGCTATTTAAGTTGTCAGTTTTTGCGGAGTGTGATTTCTGCAGGAGTGCTAAAAGTAGTTCATTCAAAAACCGACATCCTGGAGAGTCCGAAATACCGTAGGATTAAGCCCCAAAATAATCAGTATTACAGTCCCACCGAAGCAATTCTTCCAATTCGAAAATGCATTTCAGATCGGTCACTCACTGTACGTACTACAAATTCTGCAATCCTTGTGCGTCCACTACCTTTATCTGCGACTGTCTCTGATGATGGGTTCGAGTGAGAATCCAAAACGTCATGCCAATAAACTTCTTGTCCCGATGACTTCATCTTCTTCATCTTCCAACCTGCTTCCTGGAAGTCGCTGTTTGCTTCTGTCCGAAATAAAACTGTTGTTTGCCCTGTGTTTCACGTCCACTTTTGAGACGGCGACAGACGGATGGAGAGGGCAGTACTTGCAGAATGCCGTCGCTATGTCAAAACACCCTAACAAGACTCACAACTGCGTACCTATTAACCATATTTTAATTTTTAATGGCCGTGATTCCGGTACCGGTTTGGAAGACTGCATATACTTTTTTGATAAGTTACCTCATAAACACAGTCACCGCAGGGAATGTTCACCTACATGCTGTCCTGTGATGAATGAGGCCTCCCTCGTCGTGTCAGCATGGAATACGGTGAGGGAAGATTCTCGCATTTTTTGAGTCCAATAACCATAGAGTAAGCATTTAGTCTTTCATACGAGGTCTCACCCTCGCGAGAACTCTGGCCTCGTAAGGTGTTAAGGTGTAGCTAAGCCTCGTTGGCAGGGTATTTCTGCCTCCCCTATGCATTTGTTTTGCTCTTACGAAAAACGCTGTTCCTCCCCCCCCCTTTTATTATAAATAAGCTTTCCCTGGGCAGAGGAAATGCTCATTCATGATCAAGACCACTGTATTTAGTGGCTGTACCGCTATGGCAAGCGACTCAGTAAGGATCATGGTCGTCTTCAAAACCGACGATGAAATCGCAAGCGATAAAGGCTCGAATTTTGAATGCATGGTTGCTACTCAGTCAAGCACGAGCACCTACACTGAGTACAGAGGCCACTTATTATTGCCGGTATGTGATGGGATGGTGACCACGTTCCATAAACACTGCATTACCTGTCTATTGCCATGCTTGACACTGGGTTGGAAAGTGAATTCGAACCACCTGGTTAACGGATTTCCTGTTCTACTGATTGATAGTCCCTCTCCTTGATGTATGTCCATTTTGCAAGCGTCGTTCAAATTTCCACCTTAAATCTCATCTGACCGCTAATCTGATTGGCTCTGTATGAAAGTCAGGATATGCATCAACCTTGTAGAGAGCTATTTCAGTTTGGAAAAACGTACACAGAAAATATTTAATGTTAATTTCCTTTTGCCGCCATTGGCGCCAAGCACTGGCTAAAATGAGTCTGTATTTTTTGTCTAAACATCTCATGTTACTTTTCATCGCTAAGTAGGTGTGCACTGGCTACGATTCGCACCGCAACATAAAAGCCAAGAGCATATGTGGTTATTAAAGGCTAGTAAGAGAACGCTATGAAAAAGCCTCCCTTTAGGCGATGTGTTAAGGGGAAAATTAGTAACTTTTTCCATTTCTTTATAGAGGAGCCACGAAGGCGCTCGAGGCGACACGAACCCTCCTCGTCATCATCATCGTCTAGGAGCGCTTCGTCTGTATCATCGTTTGGTAATTGTCCCTTTTTCACGAAATTATTTGTTTGTTTGTGACCACTTCCACATTATGCATCGTGCCATCTATTACTGTATCCCTGCAAGCGGCGGCCCTCCAAAGGTAGCTATATTAAAGTAGACTGAAGGGTTAAAGTGATGATTTTATTAGTGGGTCCCGACGCAAATAAGGGCGGATCAGACTTTAACTATGATCAGGCACTTCTTGAGTTAGCACTCTGATTCACTCACCCTACCAGTCAGAATTTGTCGAATTCATTTGTACATCTAACCACTCTAGCTGGCAAACACACAGTAGAGCCACAGAAGGGCTGTGCAATGAAAACGTAGGTTGTTTCAGAACAGAAAACCTTTCCATGGTTTTTGTCTCTGTCCACCGGACAACTGTTTGCGCACCCAGACGGCCATTAGCAAATACGTCTCCCCCGAAATGCCTTTGCATCGATTCCGATTGGTTAGCTTGCCTGAGTGATCGGGATGCATCTTGACACAGCTCTGCACGCATGAAGACCGATGCGTTCTTCCGCATGTCGACCAGAGAAGGATTTCTGAGCGGAAGCAAGGCCCGTTCTTATGGGGCCGATTTTAATCACATTAGAGAACATGAGGCGTTTAGATGAATTAATAGAAGGGGAACCGGCCTCCTGGAATTCGACTATTATAATTTGTGATTTCTCGCCTTTCCAAAGGTTCCTTACCGCTGCTAAGGTCAGCGTAAGATCTTCCAGCATCTACGGTGGGTCTTTCGGGTGATTTCCTGTTAAAGCAGATCTTAGCTGTCCTGCCCAGACGGATAACGAAAGCAAGGTCGATTTAACGATTACGGCGAGTAAGGGTAATATGAAGATAGAGAGTGACCAAAACAATGTCTGCCAAGTGTGCTTACTTACTTAACGGTTGTCCTGTAAAAAAAAACATACAACAAGGGAGTGGAGAAGATGAGAAGTTGCGTTTTTATCTCAGAAATGAACTGCAAACTTGAAGTAGGTCAGTATATTCTAAGGTCTATAGGCGCAGACCGAAATTTGATGTAGGAATATTTGGGCCGATATTCATCGGCCACAGCGGGTAACCGCGTAATATTCATTAACAGCCGACAGGCAGCTAGTAGTATATTTAAGGGTTATAGGATACCATTCTAGCAGCACTGGTATTCGCTAAAAGCCCAGACACGCGGGTTTCGCTGATAACCTGCCACTGCATGGCATAGCAGCGAGGGGTCCAACCATCCAGTGAGTCCCCCAGCATTCCCCGTCTTCCAGTTTACAATTTATTGCTTTTTAATTTATTCAGAAATTAACTGCGAAATTGAAGTTGGTCAGTATATTCTAAAGTCTATAGGCGCAGACCGAAATTTGATGTACGAATATTTTACTCAGGCTCAGAAGTACCGTCAGCTCTTAGTGAGAACTTTCTTATCACATGGTGCTGTTGAGGTTTTCCGTCTTATGAAGGGTGTCATATTGTTCGCATGCCGAATCATATAGCTTTAGCGTGAGCTTCATAAATATTGTATTTGTCATCGTGCAATCTAAAGCTTTGTCTTTTTAAAATTTGACCGAAAAGCATTTATAACGCGCTTTCTCTCTCTCTCTCTCTCTATATATATATATAAATGGTAGAGGGGCGATCACCAATCGTTCGTACGTTCATGCATGATATATAGGCAGAATGGTATTACCAGTCTCCCTTGTCTTTGTCGGTAATACCATATATATATATATATATATCCATTCTTGCGTCCGATCTGCTGTCACTGCAAGATCATGGTTTGGTCGAGTCCGGCATAGCAGTTAACGGTTCGTGGTTTGTGTCTTATTAGGGGCTTGTTTGCTTGGGGAAACCAATGCGTTGTTGCGCGCATTCACCCTTGCAATCCAATGGGCTGCTTAGTCCTCGCTTCTCGTGCGAACTGCTTTCGGCCTCTTGAGCGCGTCGTAGTTACAAGCTGGCAACGTGAGCTCCGGCTAACTCTTCCCCTTCTGTCCTTGGGTACCAACTGTTGTCCCCGCGTGACTTTGCTTGATTGCCCTATTGCTCCTCTCCGAACCGATTCTAGTGTCATGTGTTGCCGTTGGTGTGCGGGATGCAAGCCTATGGCTTGATCAATTGTGCCAACTTTAGGCATCAGTCTGGCCATCTTCTCGTTGGCTCGGACGATGACCCTCGGAGTCTCAAAGACGAAAGTAGGGTTTTACTTTTGTACATGGCTGAAAACCAGGGAGAGTTTATCCTCGTCAGCATACGTTGTCTCGCAGCTTTAGCGCGACATGCTGGGTGCCCATATCAGGTCTTTGATCCTCATGGTTTGCTGTCTGGTGGTGGATCCCCGTTTATAAGGCACACGGTTACAAAAGGGTTTAGGGATTATTACCAACCAGTCGGGAACATTCTTCACAGAGGAAAACAAGCAATTCGCGTTTTCCTTCCTCCCATGGTCTTCACTACATATGTTTATCGTCACCCTGCCTGCTGACAACAAACTCTCGAAAGTTATCACCGAAGACAGGACCTAACTGGAAAACCTGCTGATGGACAAGGAATCTTATGCGCTTTCGGATGTCAGCGAGTTCAGAAAGCCTGCAGACAACATAAACAAGTCGGTGGGGAGGTTAAAAAAGCGAGCGCCCTCACGAGAAGAGGGACACTGTCCGCGAAAGTCACTGACACCGAGATGGCACGCTTCTAAGGCCTGTTCGAGGAACACAAGGCAGGACTGCCTCTCCGCCGAATCGCTTCTTTACCTGACGCTCTAACCTTTGGGCTGTCCAAGTGCCTGTACCAGCGACTTTGTTTCTTCATCAAGAACTCAGAGTGGAAAGGGAAGTCAGCTTAAGAGTGTGTGGCTCGCATCCGACATCGGAGGGTGGACGCAGACGAGTTGATGGCGTCCTTTGACGTGCTCTCACTGTTCACCCGTCGATACTCTCGACGGCCTTCTCTGAGAAGCGTACGACGAGACCGACCAAAGGCGTAAGCGAGTGCATATCATCGAGCTCATGGAACTGTGTCTTGAGACTTTCTTCACATTTAATGGCCAAGTATACAAGCAAAAGAAGGAAACGCCAATGGGCTCATCTCTGTCTGGACTAATTGCCAAAACGGTTTGGCAGAGGCTGGAGCGGCTGGTATTCAGCCCATACTCTCCGAAGTTCTGGGCCAGATATGTTGACGACGCATTCATCATAATAAAAAGGAGCTACATGGACGATTTCAAAGCAGTTTTGAATTCAATATTTCCCGACACGCAGTTGACTATGGAAGAAGAGGTCGGCAATCGATTGCTCTTCCTAGACGTACGTCGCAAAACTGGCGAACGGTAATATAAAGACGATGGTCTACCGTAAGGCGAAAAACACTAGGCGCATCCTCCACTTCAGAAGCAACCAGCCCGTTGGTCACAAACACAGTTGTGTCAGGACCCTTTTCCAACGCGCCCAAACACACTGCATCGACGACGATGACAGGAAGAAGGAGGTAAAGTACTGACATGCCCTATTTGAAGCCAACGGTTACCCGAAGTCGTTCATACGCAAGTGTCTCAGGATATCCCACTCTGGGCGGTTGAGCGAGGAGAAATCAGAGTTATGGCTCTCAATCCCCTAGGTAAAGAACGTTTCAGAGGCAACTGCGAGAATTCTGAAATCTTTTGGAATTGGTGTGACCCATAAACCAGCATCGACAATGAGACAACAGATCATGAGGCCCAAAGACCCGCTGCCGCGGACAGAAAATTCAGCGGTGGTCTAGAGCATAACATGCCAAGATTGTGGTGCAAGGTATGTTAAGGAAACGGGAAAACGCCTCGGCACAAGATTGCACGAACACCAACTTGCAATCAATGGCAAGGATAAGCTGCCGTTGGTGTATAGCCATACAGTAGAGCGGAACCACAGTTTCGCCTTCGAGAAAGCGAATGTGGTCGGCCGAGCCAATGATAAAATGGCCAGGCCGATGCTGGAAAGTTGGTCCTCTACTGGCACATTCAACCGAGCCATAGACCTACATCCCGCCTACCAGACGCTCCGCGCAAGGCTCGAGTCATTCCAGGCAGGGACAGTGGCACGGATGAAAAGAGTCACACTGTGTCGGCTGCCGACGCTCGCGGAGACAGTGGAAGCAGCTGACCGAATGTCACGTGACCGGCGCGACACAGTGCCTCACGGACGTACTCTCGAGGCCGAAAACACCACGCCTGAGGAACAACGACCGATCGGCCCGCCGCCTGACGAGGAGGTAGCCAACGAGCACACCGACGCAGCGGCAACCACGTCCGGCGTGAAAGCGACACAGGGCACGCCAGTCCCCCAATGGCTCGGATCAGCGCGGCCAAAATCAGCCAACAGAAAACAGACTAATCAACGTTCGTGCGCTGGGCACGGTTATAATACGAGGCAGGCGGCAAGGCTGAACAAATCAAGGCCAGCAGGAAACGCCAGCTAACGACTCTGATGATGGAAACGAGAGAGTTTCCGAAACGTCAGTTTAAATACAATCTGGCCCATGAAATCGCTTTCTCTTCTTCGTCTTCCTCGGGGGATGATAAACACGATATATATATACATATCATAGCACGCCTGTTTAACATCATTATCTACGTTTCCGTCTTCTATACTCATCATGCAACGTCCTATGCATCAATTTTCTGACAGACTGCTCAGTGTCTTCACACTCGTCCTCGTCCTCGTCCTCATCCTCCTCATCATCATCCTCGTCTTCCTCGTCATCTTCGTCCTCCCGCTCTTCTTCTTTCGCATCGTCATTCTACAGCCGATCTCCTTCGCAGTCGTCCAGAGGTCAGTTTGTGAGATCTCTCCTTCCTCATCTTCTAGCTTAATGGTTCACGTTGTTCTAAATGCTGAATTATTTCAAAGGATAGTACAAAGTACCTCAAAAATATGAAGTGGTAACACTCCAAATTTCACAAAAAACAAGAGAGCAAACCCATCAGATATGGCTACCTTCGGTCGTGGGAGGAGAGAATGCGGTAGATGCCGCACAAAGTTGCTCTGCCGTCAACTTATTCACGAGTAAATCACTGGAGATGGACTCACTATGTGCGGCACACGGTGGATGTCGTCTCTTACGGCGGTCAAACTGTCGCATCTAAGTTATTTGTGTGTGGCAAGCGGTAGACAGGGACTTCAGGTCACGTCCGACACCGCGTTCAAGTCCATCTGCAATCACTCTGACTCGCACAGGCCACTGTTTCGGGGGCGAGAGAGGGAGTTGTGAGGTCGGTCCAAATCAATGTCTACTCTGGGTCCTCGGCACAAGTAGCCAAAGAAGTTGAGGTCAGAATTTTAACGGGCGCATCCCTCTCTGATGTTTACCGCAGAGACCAAGACGAATAACGTGGTCGCGTTCCTCGATGTACTTTTACACAGAAAGGAGGATGGATACATCCAACGCGAGATATTCAGAAAGAAAACCTGGACGGGACAATACATTAATTTTAACGGATTTGTTCCCTTAAATCTAAAACGAAATTTAGTCCAGGGACTGGCGGCTAGAGTGCGACGCATCTGCTCCCCTGAAACTGGTGAAGCAGAACTCCAGCAGCTGCAAAACACCCTCTGCGAAAACGGCTGTCCAGAGCGATGCATACTCCAGAATATTAGTGAGCTTGTCACAAAACCTGCCGTTGCAACCGCAGAGAAGAAAGACCTATTTCTAAGGCTTCCTTGTCTAGGAGATGCAGCAAGCGAATTAGTGAGATGTCTTAGGACAGCTCTCGCGAGTGCCTTCCCCACGGCGAACTTGCGCGGATTCTTCGCAAACTCCCCCCTACTACGGTTGGGGGGCAAATACCGGCTGCCGTTACAGGCTACATCCATGTGTATTTATTCATTCACTTGCTCCTGTGGAGCGGGATATATTGGTCGTACAACGAGGCGTCTGGAAAAGAAAATACGCGAACATATGCCTGCCTGGTTGGGTAGAGGTGAAAATCGATCGAATCCGAGTTCAATTCTTGCACATCTAATCCATACGATCCACCAAGCCGACGCTAAAAAAAGTCTTTAAAGTTATCTAGGGGGAGCCGGCACATTAGTCTAAAGGCCTGCGCAAACGGGTGCTAGCCACAGCCTAAGCAGTGGCCATTCGACTAGCGAACCAAGAACTCTGTTGTCAGAAGACGTTGACACAAGCAGTCTGTCTGCCCCGGCCGACTCCAGACGGTGATCGCACGCCGTCCCAACGCCCTGAGAACAGTCACACGCTCTCACATAGCTTACAATCGAACCGAAGCCCCTCTCCTTCCCCCACCTCCCACCCCATCTCCGCCGTCCTTAACACACTGACTCCGTCATGCGGGCTGCTTGGGAACATGGAGTCCGATCAACCCTGCCCCTGAGACGCATTTATATCAGGTGGACAGTTAGAATGATCAATACCCATGTAAATGTATCGGCCTGATGATGATTTACCGAAAAAATATGTTCGTCAGCTGGCTTTGAAAGACGATTTGTTGCTCAAAACTGAGAATTAGGTTTCAATGCTTTCTTTTTCCTATGGTCTTTCGGTGCTGACGCTCATATTGGTTTGAGGACTCCTCATTAAATTCTGTAACATGCAGAGTTTGAGAGCGGGTCGTGTACAGTGAATGCAGATTTACTGTTTACCTATGTCAACAGCTGTGTCCCCGACCGCTTGTACCAATATTTTCCGCACGGGCATGTAGCTAAATTCGTCGCTGTCGATAGCCAGTCTATCACATCTGATGTAGCTGTGTAAGTAGACCAAAGCAGCTCAAGATCTCATCAGCCAGACTGCACTGAATCTGGACGATTTATTGTCCGCCCACTCAAAATATCTATGCAGACAGAAATTATTCAGCAAATCAGTGTCACTGACATCTTAAGGAGAGATATGGCCAATCACGCACCTACTGATCTGAAATTTCTTCATCTGTCGGAGCCAATCAGAAGGGGTCGTTACTTTATCTGTCTTATTTACTTACACACTTTATTTTTACATTCAGGCTCAGCTGGCGCTCACGTTCAAATCAACAACAGTGAGTCACTAGTCCGCATTTAGGGAATTCACATGCGCACTTTTATCTTCTGCATCGTTTAAACTACCGCTGATTTTTGTTATCCGAAGAACAGGCGTTTTCTTTAAAATGAACTGGCAGCATACCCTTACTTCAGTATACGTCCGTAAAAAACATGCAAGTTAATCGGTATTTACTCGTTTTTCCTGGCTTACAGAAGTTTTGCGGAAGCTTAGAGCCAAAGCACGTAAGTTGACGTTTGCAAAAAATTCATTTTTATCGCATGCTTGACGGGACATTCCTGTCTGCAGTTAAGCTTTGCAATTAACATAGCGTTGAGTAATCTAAAGTCTATACAGTTATGGAAATCAGTGTTCAGCGACTTGCCTCATGTTCTACTCTCTTGGTGTTAATATAATCTAATGGTGAGCGGCAACCTCCACTCTTCCGTCCTTTCAAGTTATTAATTTCCTTTTTCCTCTGCTCCATCTATGTACTTGTTTTTAAACCTCCGTATGCCTTCCAATCAGGACAACTGAGATTGGCCGCAAATGGTTAGTTTGGTTCACAGATCCTCGCAGTTTGTTTTTTTGTTTGAATGACGGCTAACTTTTTGCACTTTAGAGCATGTGACTTCACTTATTATGATCTTTTCTACTACGAAACGGATGTGGCAAATTTTGCTTCGCTCTAATCAAGCTTGCATAAAGGCCACCTAGAGCTAGCTTTGCCTTACAAAGGGACCCTGTCTCAAAAAATGTAACTATTTAATAGATAGTCCATCTCATAAAATATTAACCGAAATTCCAAATTCCGTTTTCGGTTCGAAAAGATTACTTAAGAAAGGATGTCATATTAATTACCGCATCGCATAATGTTAGGATATAACAGCCACGTCCGAATCGTCGTCAGCTTCTAACCAACCGCTTGTTTTCCGTAAAAATTGACCACTTAAGTGATATGGCGTTCCGCATATATTTTCGATTCCCTTATTAATCCAAATACTTTACGTAGAAAAGAAATACAAAAATATTCTTTTATTCCCTCATTTTGGTAGAAAATTATATTTTATTTAACTTTTGCTTGAGGAAGGAGTGTACTGGGCTTTGAACAAACTTACTCAATTCTTGAATGCTTGTGAACTGGATCTCTCAATACACTTGCACTCAGAGTTTGCAAACTACCAGCTGTACACTTTTCGTTTGGAGAAAATCATTCATTTCTACATGTTATTAAAATCAAGTAGGACCCATAAAATTTTGAACTGGATGTGGACCATACTGACCACTCTATAATCAGCCTTAATATAGACGTTTATATGATGCTGTATAATTGGGCATTTTTGGTCTTGAAACATCTCATAACTGGAAACGTTTGGAAACCAAATGATGATATTTTTGGAGTATAAAATTTAAAGAGGACATAATTTGCGCCAAATTAGCGGGTGAAAGCATATTTTGGCGCACGGTTTCTATAGAATATATTCGAATTTATAAGCGTCTCAAGGACCAATGGGAAAAAATCACATCGCCCAAGTTTTCGTTGTTATTGAATATAGGCGGTCGATAAGAGGTTTGTTCGAAAGCCGCATTCCTGGCGTATCTAAAATAACTTTGGATTAATGTATAAAATAATTCATATAAGAACGCCACTCAAGCAAATTTTTTCAAAAGGAAAAACCATTCCATAGTTTTGATCAACATTTCATGAGATAGGACATTTGCTTTACCGTCCTTGAAGCAGCAAGACTTTAACAAAACGACTCTTTTGAAGGTATTCGGACAAGCGCATTTAAAAACAACCCATAACCAACGCACACCTAACATAATAACAATTCCCCAGAAGTTTTTTTTTCTGTTTCTCCCAATTTAAAATCTGCTTCTCTCTAGGCGTATAATATATTCGGTTACAAGTTTAAAACTTCCATATTTTGAACAATTTCAGCCGAAGGAGATGTTGGGGAGTACAGTCGTACTGTCAAAAAAGGTAGGTGTTGTCCGACAAAGGATTCTTATGCGCTTCTGTATTTCTCCAACAAGTGTCATGTCATAAAGTATGCCCCAGGCCTATTTTCCTCAAAGAGGAGTGGGTACTAGTCTCAACACTGCTTTATCATAATGCTGCAGAAACTACAAACCTAGTACATAGCTATGTCTGCAACAAAACGTCCTATTGGTGGACACTGTGCTAAGATAGTTTATACAAGCGGAAATGTGAGTTAGAGGATGCAGCAGAGAAGATATAGACCCAATCGCTGGAACAATAACTTTATTCGCCTGACGATTTCTAACTCTTCATCAGAAACGGTATCGGACACGGGTAAATCATGCGCAAGGCGTTTTGGTCGTTGTGCCAATGGACAATGACAACTCCCCACCTTATCAAGGACACTTGTCCTTGGTGCGATTATTGCTTGATGGTTGGCATTCGAGTTGCTAATCGTCGCAAATTCGTCAGGCGTGTTCGATGTAGGCGTGATGATTACTCGACTGTCTGGCTCACAAACACTGGTGTTGTTAACAGTGCTGGCCTTCGCGCTCCCCGCGTGGTTAATTACTTATGCCACACCAAGCCTCGACACCGAATATGGAAAGGGGGTCCTTGCCCTTGCTAATAGACTGAGGGTGGGGGCAGGAAACCATGATTCAGATAGCACACGGCTCATGCGACTGTCAACACACGATAACACTGCCAATGGTAGTGAAGAGACGAGTCCCAGAAAATAGTCTTGAAGAAGGCGACACGATCGCTGGGACAAGAGCTTTATTATCCCGACGTTTCGGATTCCTGTTCGAACCCATCATCAGAGACCAAAAGCAGATACGGGTGGCTCATACACAAGGGACTGCACTATTTATGGGATGCAGTTGCCATGCCACTGCATACCTATGAATATTCACGGTTTCCCTCTTCATCAGGGATCGTTGCACGTTGTGTGATGGCCGCCATTCGCGTCGTTAATTGCAGCAATTTCATCACGTGCGTTGGATGTTGGTGTGATGATTGCTCGACCATCTGACGCGCTGACCCTGGTGTTGGGAGAAGTGTTCACCTGTGCGCTCCCCGCGTGGCCAATTACCGCGCCTAGGCGAAATCTCAGCACCGAGTACGGAAGGGGAAGATCATTGCACTTGTTAATGGACTGCGGACCAGTAAACCGGGATTCAAGTAGCTCTCGACTCACGCGGTTGTCACCTCTTGCGAGAATTTCGGCCCCGTCGAATTTGAATGTGTTGCCGTATCTAATCGAATGAGCCGCAAGTTGAGTGCTGGCGTTATTTCTCCACACCGCAGCAGTGTGCTCGGCCATTCGCGTCCAGGGAGGTCTTCTAATCTTTCCGACGTATTCGCCTTGTCAGAAATTGCACAAGATCCGTTATACGGGAATGAATCCCAAATATCAGGCGAATTGAACTCTCGTCCCAACAATCGGATCCACCTCTTCTCAACTGTTTCAAGAGTCTCAGTGATAATATTACCTACCCAATCTTCTAACACCATCTACCGGTACTCGTCGATCGACCGAGTAACTGTCTGTCTCTAAACAATATAGAATTTGAAAAGTGTTCGGACCGTTGTATAAAATGGCAGGTTTGAAAGAACCTAGCACAGACTCTCTAGTGGATATGTCAAACAGCAAGCACGTTTGTTGTGCCTGCCTATGAAAAAGGAAGAAAATACGTCCACCGGAAAGTGTTCACTACTAGGCACGAACTGTGTGCGTGAACTGCTTATGTTTCCCTAGAATACCTTAAGAATGCTAGAACTGGTTAAACGTGAACCCCTTCAAGCGTCTTATCTTGAATCAGACAGCTGTCTGCTCTGTGCGCATGCGCCTATTGCCATACCATACCCGCAGGACGGGCGCTCAGATTGCAATAAACCCACCGTGTCAATCACAAAGCATGGAACCCCAGAAATTCTCACCGGCAGCAGCGGTGTCTGCAATCGTGCTGTCTTGCATCCAACGCCTGTCTGGCGGAGCCTTCTGTTTCCCATAAAATGCATCAAGTCATTAGGGAGCTAAATAGCTGAGCCGTCTGTGTGATGCGCTCGCCCTACAAGTGGTTTACCTGTGGAAGGTTCTGTCACGAACGGGATATCCGAGTCTTTCTTTCATTGGAGTATACTGGCCGGAGAAATCAGGTCGTGTTTGACACCCGTATATGGGCTCCCTACATTTGTGTTCCATTGCACCTGAACCTTCCCTCGGTCGTTTTGACATTGTGTGCCCACCCTAAGCCTGGGGCGTGAGTGAGGCGAGAGTGCAGAAGGTGGTGTGCAAGTCCTTAGTACCGCGCCTACTCCACTGGCCACACAGTGGATGCTGTCACCCGTGCCATTCAAACTGCCAAGTCAGTATTCCGGGGAAGAGGAAGTAACCCTTCAGACAACCCTCAGCATGTTATGTTAATGATAATTTCACGGAATTCTTCCGTGTTTAAATTTCACAACTCCATAGTTCCACACAAGTAAGGTCGCCCACATGGCGATCGCTGACCCGTTACTGAGCAGAAGTCAGCCAGATAAGTCCACTATAACAACTTTCTTGCGGTGATTCAGATCTTGGTACGCAACTTAAACACTAGCTGACTTTTGCCAAACCTGATAACTGGAATTTAAGTGCTTAGTCAAAGTTTTCAAAATTAAGAGACTGCATACACACCAATTAAACCAGCAAAGTACGATTCTCCAAAAAATCCGTGCACATAATTAGATAAAATGATATCTAGACAGCATTAATGTACATATGACGAATAACCTCGGCTAGAATGCTTTGTGGTTAAATCGTGTCGTCCTCGAAAATATCTTGTTAGTCGAAAATACACTGGTGCATGCATCTACGCACTAATAGTTTTTCTATAAATTGTCCCTTGTGTAACGCTCTTCCAGTACTCTTATAAAGTGCTATGATAGTAAAATTCTAAAAATACCAACCTACTGTTTTACCTTTGTGTAGATAAAAACGGAAACAATTGGGTTTATGAAACAAGTAAGTCGAGGATTTTGCAAAAATCCTTTTCAATTTTAAGTTCGTAGATGTTTCGGCAAATTTTAAATAATTCAGTTTGTACCAATGAAAGACTCGGCGCCTTGGTTGGGTTTGGACCCACGACAGTATGGTGAGGTTTTAGTACTGAAAACGCACTAGCCACCTGAGCTACGAGGTCCCACCGGGAGACGAGAGGCGTGTACGGCATGACGATTGGTTACTCCCCTATCTCACTGCTTCAGATTTGTTGAGATGTTCGCTATTCAACTGATGCTTAATAGCTTGTCGATGTAAAGCATTCGCACTCCAAATATACATGACAAGTACCAATGATTTTGGAATGCAGCATCTGCGAGGGTAGCGTAGAAGCGTTTTTCACTCATGGAACGGCGTAAATCCCGTTGGATAATAATTTGTGAACCGCAGTCGGTAATGTACTTACTGATACAACTGAACTGGACCTTTGCGAAAACCAAAATCACAGCTTAACCTTAGAATCTCTTAAATCAAGAATAAAGTCATCAGTATAGGCGCCAACGGACTTTGGAGATAATTAAACCGGATTTTACTAAATGCTTGTTTTACTGACAAATTAACTTCTTCGCCTTTCTAGGGGTCTATAGAAAATCTCCCAAACGTAAGTCACAGCATGGTCCACAAGGTTTTGCGCAAAACTGTTTAGCTTCCTCATGATCAGTCATCCTACCCTTTTGATCTTCCATTTTAGGTGGTAAGGGCCGTAAACGAAAGTGAACCGCCAGCACTGGCGTCCAGAAGAAGTTAACTAATATTACATGCGAGAAATTTTACAAAGACTGCTTTGCAGAACTTACTTCTTTACTACTTAACTCATAGTCTTCACGTTCGACCGTTTATTTTGATTTTTGAATTGAAAGCAAAAGCCCGTGGAATACAAGTGGTTTTTGGACTACAATGGCAATTATTTTTCCTTAGATAAACTTGGCAGAATGGGGGGTCTCGGGACGTTTATTTTTATCTATGCCTCGTGCCGCAACATTGTGCACCGTGCCCAGTGAAGGACACCGCTGAATTTAAAGTCATAATATTGTGTGAGGGCGTAGATGCGGCAGTTAAATCCGCGTGGGCCAGTGCCACATGCACCCAGTTCATGTCTGTGTCATTCGGGAACGAAATATCATAGATCGTATTCGAAGGAAGTTACCGAGGCTCTGGTTTTTAAACAGACTGTGGACGAATATTCAGCTAGATCGCAGTTGGTAGTCGGGAATGGGGAGCGATCGGCGACCCTAAACCTAACCTTAACCATAACCTTAGCCTTAACATTAAACGTTCACCGTTAACCCTAACGGCAACCCTAACCCTAACCGAAACTGTAAACTTCAAAGTAGCCCTTAGGCATAGCCTGAACTGGAAAACCTAACTGTAATTCTGAAACCTAATCGTACGCTCAAATCCTAACCGTAATCCGAAAAGCTAAGCCTAAATTCATAAGCCTAACCCAAAAGTCGCAAACTATTAACTGGTGCCCTAATCCTAACCTCAACCGTAAAACTGAAGTCAAATGGGTCACATGTGATTATGGAGCCCCACAAAATAGCCCCAGTAAACAGACCCCCAGCCACCTGTAATACGGGGCCTGGCTACCAACCGCGATCTAGCCGAATTTTCGTTCAGAGACTTTTGGCTGGCTTAAATAATTCCTACATGTCCTATCCGTGTTAGTAAAGAAAGTATTTTTAGACTCGCGTTTGACCGCACTTATTTCGTCCTTCTACCCCCGTATGCTCCAATTATGTGTCCGTATTTAATCGATCTGTGCTAGTGGCTGACGTGAATTTGAACCTCCGCCTCTCTTTGTCCTTCACCTTCTTGTCTCCATTAGCATTTCAACCAGAACAAAACACTGGCCTCGCCACACGGGTTAGAGATCTTCCCTTCCCACAAATTTCAATCATCCGACTCCTTTTCAAAAATCTGTTATCTTCATATTCATAAATGTATTTATGTAACAATCTCCCCGATAGACTGGTAAAATTCATTAATTAAACACATAGAAAGTTCGTGTTTAAACAGATTACGGAGGACTAAGCAGTAGGTTTAAAGAAAGCATGAGAACACGAACGACCCACCTAAGTAATAAAGCTGGGCCTGCAAATAATTCATGAAACAGGCAAAATATTGTCCAACACTTTCTTCAACAATAAACCCTAATATATTATGAGATCGTTGCACTTATCTTGACGCTAGCCCTACATTAATCCCAAACACTAGTCTCCACCGTAATCCTAAACTTGGTTCAGACCTACTGAAAGCTTTAACTCTGTCTTTGAGCCTAATCCTCAATCTAAACCCAAACCCTAACTTTATTTCATTGGAAAGTGGCTCGAAGTCGGCCGTATTGCAGGCAGTTCCTGCGCACAGGTCATGTTTGGGTGGCATACATGAAGTCATGCTATGTAGTCGTCACTACAGATGAGCTGACTGAATACAAATCGCCCTTACTTGATTTTCACTGGTAAAATAGAGGCCGGTCATCAAGCCAACTAAGATGTTAGTGCCAATGGAAGCGAAGAGACGAGTCCCAGGAAGCATTCTGGAAGAAGGGCACACGATCGCTGGGAGAAGAGCTTTATTGGTCTGACGTTTAGGATTCTAGCTCGAATCCATCATTGAAGAGAAACTCAGATACGGAAGTTTCAGGCATAAGGAACTGCAGTATTTATAGGATCTGCTTTCCATGGTACCGCATACCTATGAATATTCACGGCTTCCCCTTCATCAGGAATCCTTGAACGTGGTGTGATGGCCGACAATAGCGTCGTTAATTGCTGTTGAAGAAATGACTCTAGCTCTCAGGTTGCAGGTCATTCGACGAGATCCGGCAACACATGCAACTTCGACGAGGTCGAAATTCTCGCAAGAGGTGACAACCGCGTGAGCCGGGAGCTACTTGAATCAGGATTTACTGGTCCGCAGGTCATTAACAAGTGCAATGATCTTCCCCTTCCCTACTCGGAGCTGAGATTTCGCCTAGGCGGACTAATTGGCCACGCGGAGAGCGCACAGGTGAACACTTTTCCCAACACCAGGGTCAGTGCGTCAGATGGTCGAGCAATCATCACACCAACATCCAACGCACGTGATGAAATTGCAGCAATTAACGACGCGAATGTCGGCCATCACACAACGTGCAACGATCCCTGATGAGGGGATAAGCCGTGAGTATTCATATGTATGCAGTAGCATGGCAATTAGCACCCTATAAATACTGCAGCCCCTTGTGCACCAACCACCCGTATCTGCTTTTGGTCTCTGATGATGGGTTCGAGCAGGAATCAGAAACGTCAGGCTAATAAAGCTCTTGTCCCAGCGATCGTTTCCCCTTCTTTAAGATGTTAGTCTTCAATACGCGAATTCACGACACGCAGAACCGAAAATGCAGTCATTTTCGTTCGGTTGAGCCACGAACGGTGGTCTCATGAACCTAGCCATACGATAGACAGTAGAATGACTTGTTTCAAGCCGACTAAGAAAACGACATTTAAATGCCTACCCCGCATTTGCTTAGCAAGCACACTCGACTAAGACTGACTGCCGGCTGCGTGCTACCCTTCTGGGCATTAGAGATTTTAAGCGTCTGCTGTGCCTCATCAGCCGACCGTGGTTGTTGTAGCCTCTGTGAGCTGGCAGTGTTCTCTGACACCTGGTTCCCTGCCGGTAGATGCGCCTGCGCCCCCGCTCGGCACACAGGTCGTACACACGGTTGCCCAATCATCCTCGCCTCTGTGACTCGTTGTTGTGTTGTTGCTGATTGTAATCCTAATTAATTGTTTGTTTTTGACCCGGAGGATATGATGGTACGCCTAGGTGCGGACTTACACCTTGCCAGTCCCCTGTTTTCTCTCTCTCGCCCTGGTCCTTCTTGACTTCGTCCTAACACCGGGTGCAGGTGGGAGAGGAGGGGGAGAATGCAGTGGACACTGCTCAAATTTACTTTAACTATAAACTAGTTCATGCGTTAGTCACCGTACCTGCTCTCAACTTGTTGTAGGGGCCGCGCGGACACCGTCGGCTGCGACAGTCGAACCGTTAACAAAAAACGAAATCTAGCAAGATCTATTTTGCGTAGTCGTACCATTTAGGGGTTATGGTTAGGGGCGAGGAGTTGGGGTTACGGTTGGGGTTAGGGGCTTAGGTTAGGAGTTGTGGTTAGGAGTTAAAGGTTAAGGATTAGAGTTAGGGATTAGGCTGGAGCTTGTCTACTGCAGGTACAGCTGCAAAATAAGATTTGACCCAAAATCTTTTGCCTGTCTGATCACGGTCTGTGCCTGCCTTACGGAAGCACAATGTTCCTTCCCAAAACCGGCTGTCTTGTTGCTGTTATAGACTAACTGGTGACTAGGCTGCCTCATAGGCGTCAGTCTCACTGTACGTGAACTGCTTTGCCGTCGCTCTATTCGTGAAGAACGCTGACTGCGCTGTCAGCAATCAGACGTCAGAGTCGATCAAACTTCTGACGCACGGGATAGGAAAGAGATAGTGGAGCCTACTTCCGTCGAAGTCCAATATGCTGTTCAATGGAAGAAATCCGACACACTAGAAACTGGTACAACGCGTTAAATATCGTTGAATAAAGCGCTGTCACTTGGAAGGCTAATTTCTTTCAAATTCAAACTGAGAATCAGACCGCAATATACTTATTGTGTCTTTATGTCGGGGCCTTTTCCGCGCGACTGCTCTTTTCCCTTACAAGGACTGTCGTCAGTTGGAATTTGAATATCTTTTTGGCGCCATCGGTGCTATCCTAACCTAATGTATTACGGCATTTCGGCCGTCGTTTCCAAAGCCGTGATCTGCACAGCAGGGTGAAAAAAAGTCATTGACTTGTGTGGGAATTAGCCAATAGTGATAGTTGACTTGCGCAACATCTACCGCACTCTCCCCTCCTCCCCAACCTGAACCCGATGCCAAAGCATAGTCAAAAAGACAGTGGGCGGGAGAGGGCACAGGTGGCTGGCACGATCAAAATACGCACCTAGACGTATCACCACACACCCTGATCCACAACAAACACTCGACCAGGCTTTAAGCCAATACCAGCACAACAACGGGTCGGAAAGACAAGGATGACTAGGCAGCCATGCTCACGACCTGTATGGCCAACGGGAGTGCAAGTGCATCTACTGGCAGGGAACCAGGTGTCAGAGAACTGACAGCGTACACAAGGCTGCAAGGGTTTACTCTTCATGGTTAGCAGACGCTTGCATTTCTGGGGCCTGAGAGGGATGTCAACAACACGCGGTTTTTCAGCCGATTACCTATGCAAGTATTAACCGGGTCGAAAATAGTTTAATTTCAGTGATCGAAAGAGAACTTCTACTTTCTCCGGAATATGGTCGCTAAATTCGCATAACAGTTAACGCCCAGGCCCACCTCTGCCTTCTACCACATCTCCTAGGATGACGACATAACGCGATGTAGTAGTAGTAGTAGTAGTAGTAGTAGTAGTAGTAGTAGTAGTAGTAGTGAACCCCAGATTTCAGTTTTTAATTTCCTCCCAAAGTAAAGCATAAAGCAGATTAAAGCCTTGCAGGCTCATCCTGAAAGAGTGTATGAATATTTGAGCCGACGTTTATTAGCTTTTGTGGGATATCCACGCGGTTTTCTTAAAGTGCCGACGGACAGCAAGTAGTATAAAAATGCTGCCTAAATAACAATAACTAGAGCACAGGTACTATCTTCAAACCCGGACACGCATTCTGTCGACATCC